AGAACCGGCACGGCGTGTGGAATGGGCTGACAAGAGAGCGGTCGCTCACGTCCAGGGTGAGATCGGCACAAACACAACCACCACGACCGACATCGCGCTCCACTCTCCCGATGCTGCTCCAGGTGGTGCGCCTGCACCGTCTCGCGCTCCCCTCTGCGTGGCTGTACTCCCCCCTGGTGGCGACGGCACGCCACTGCCTCCTATTAATAAACAACAGACTGTTGGGGCAAGCGCTGTTAGCGAGCGCCTATGAAGGCCGGCAGGGCACACGAGGGGGTGGGTGGCCAGCACCACGCCCCGCCGCCTTTGTCTCCCCAGTGGCGATGTTTACACACCGCACCAGGTACTCCGCACCGAGGACTCCGCACCAGGTACTCCGCACCGAGTACTCCGCACAAGGTACTCATTTGAGGTTGAATCGACCTAGGGGAGGAGGCCCAGGACCGGTTCAGATAATTGTCACCGATGTTCTACAGCATACCTCGCCTGGTGTACAGGAGGTCGTGGATTCGATCCCGACCCTGACGCCTGCTGCTGCATATTTGGAGTTTGCGTGTCTCTCTCCCGTGCGACCGCCCCCACTCCACATTTAGAATCAATGTCACGCGTTGAGAGTTATTTGGCTGCTGCTGCTACGTGGGGGTGATGAGCCGTGATTTGGTTGAGCCATCATTTGAGATAGCCAGGTCGCTTCTGTAAAAGCGCCATCACGGTATGGCCCAGTGCAGTGATTCTTCGCTCATTCTCAGAGGCACTTTCGCCAATTGAGGGCCGTCACGCCATTTGAAACAATTGGGGATTTTTGACAGCAGCAGCACGATGAGGATGGTGGGTTGTTTTTTTACATTTCGTATATTTCATGGAACTCTTTTGGCCAGTATCGTGGTATGGAAAATAAGAATAGGCGTGTAACCTTTTCGCCAATACGACAGATGTTGTGTTAAGATGTTTACACAGTTTTCAGTTTATTTATTTTGGTATCGCCCTGTGAGCCATTCGGCTCTTGAATCGGGTGCAACCACAACAAAAAAAAACACGAACAAGAAAAACATCTTAAAGTGACTGTGACTGTGCAAACAGAAAATCCATGAAAAAAGCAGCAAAATATTCCTGAAAAAAGCACCGTACACCAACGCTGTGTACAAAAAATCCCAGTGGGATGCAAGTCAAACAACTACCACAAGAAAACTTAGATTAAGGCCATCAGTCTAACTCCGTACTACAACAAAACAAACATGTCCAAATCAAAAACTTTTCGAAATCAATAAAAAAATAAAGCCATAATTGCAACGTAACAGTAATGACAGGGACTGTGACCGAATTTTTACAATAAACTACATAAATTGCATGTAACAACAAATCCTAGAGCCATAACTGGCTGCATGAGTTACTCCACAATAACAGAAGCATCAGTTGGAGTATCAAATTTTTCAATGCACCTTTAAGATCAGCACACTAAATAAAAATACAGATAATACTTTGCAGCGCCATCCGGAGCGAAAACATTTTATTTTATTTTACGCCAATGAATAGCAGTGGCAGCTAGGGGTGTACAACTCTTCTAGAGCAGTTTTGAGAGAAGATCTCATTGGTAGCGTTTCAAGTTGCAGTTTATTGGCAATAGCATTGCAGACCCTGGGGGCATCAATAGCAAAGGCCCTTCCTCCAGTTTTTGTACGGCAAGCTGGTAAATGAACGAAGACCTGAGGTCAAATTTGTTCTTTGAAACAGAGGAGATCCACATTAAGAGGTGTTAAGTTTGACACAATGTAGAGTCCTATATGGGCAGTTCAATCTAAATCTTAAGGCCGAGTGATAGATGGAATCAAGCTTCTTCAGTACAGTCCTTGGGGCTGATTTATATACGATGTCACAATAATCAAGTAGAGGCAGTATCGTAGCTTTTATCAATTCCAAACGGAACATTGGGGGGAAGCAGTGCTTGTGTCGATACAGAAAACCAATTTTTATTTTTGTCTTTTTACCAATATAATCAATGTGATCTTCAAAATTCAGTTTTGAATCCAGGATGACCCCAAGATACTTATAGATCTTGATTTGCTCTATTTGATAATTATTTAAGGAATGTAGTTGGGGAAAAATAACTTCCTGCTTTAGTCCTGGTGAGAAGCATAGCACCTTGGTTTTGGAGGTATTCAGGACTAGTTTAAGAGCAACTAGCTGATGTTGTAGTTTGTTGAAATCACCCTGTAGCTTAGCAATCACGTCATCTGGAGAGCGGCCAGCAGTAATCAGTATCGTGTCATCTGCAAAAAGATTTACCCTGGAATGATCCAGGTCAGTGCCCAAGCCATTGACATAAAGAGAGAACAAAAGGGGGCCGAGGATGGAACCCTGTGGAATCCCTTTTGTCATCTTAACACTGTTTGACCTCCAACCATCTGTGAATACAGTTTGGGTGCGAGAAAAGAGGTTATTTTGTAACCATTTTACTGCGTTTTCGGAAAAACCGAGGCAACTTAGTTTATTAAGCAGGGTGTTGTGGTCTACTGTATCAAAAGCTTTGGACAGGTCTGGAAAAAGACAGGCACAGTACTGCTTATTATCAGGGCTACTGTAAATGTGATTCAGAGTCTAATGCAGCAGATGTGGTGCTGTATTTTTTTCGGAACCCAGATTGTTTTAGATGTAGTAGATTGTTGGTGGACAGGAAACTGCTAATTTGGTAGGTCAATAATTTTTCAAAAATTTTCATCAACGGGGGCAAAATTGAGATAGGTTGGTAGTTATTTGGATCATCTTTAGGGCCCCCTTTGTGAAGTGGACGGACATAAGAATGTTTCCATTCTAGAGGAACTGATGCTTCTTTGATGGACACGTTGAAAATATCAGCTATAGGTTTGTATTTTAGGTGACCAATAGTTAGTCGAGCAAAGACGGGAATACTATCTGCTCCGGTAGAGGAGGACCCTTTGAGGTAGGACAGTTGTTTCAGAACATTATTTTCGTGGATTGGCTGGAAACTAAATTCGTTTAATGTTTGGACAGGGGTGTAGGAATTTGCATGAGCAGGGGTGACTCCCAATACATTATCAAAAAGATTACCAGCTTCAGAAAAATGAAAGTTAAAATTAGCGACTATTTTTTTGGGATCTGAAAAATATTACCCATTTCGGTTAAGCTCAACGGGCAGATTGTCTGTTTTGGATGCCTTTTCGATACATTTGATTGCTTTCCAGAAACCTGGCATTTCCATGTGATTCCAGGAGAATGGAGGAAAAGTAGGCATTTTTTGCATGCCGTATTTTTTTGACGCATCTATTCCTTAAAATTCTGTATTCTAGCCAGTCATTGACCAAATTACTTTTCTGAGCACATGCCCAAGCCTTGTCCCTAGTTTTCATGAGCTTTGTAATCAAAGGATCAAACCATGGTGGGCGGTTGCCTTTAGTTTTAAATCTTACCAACGGAGCATGTTTGTTAAGAATTGGAGAAACGTGTACCTGAAGGTCTCCCAAGCCGTAGTCAGGTTGGGGATATCACAGACCTTGTCAATATCCGAGTGAAGCACATCATTAGTAAATGCCTGAGTGCTGAAGTGTCTCATAGAGTGCCTCTCAACCAATTTAGGGGGGGCTTTGGGTCTGGCTGATGATCTCACCCCAAAAATGAAGGAGTGATCACTAAGGTTATTACCCAGAACACCAGTCAGTGCGAAATTGTGAGGGGCATTTGTCAATAGGACGTCAAGCAGCGATGATTGCCCCCGGGTTTTTTATGTTTCGTCTTGTGGGGACATTTATTAATTGAAACAGAGTAAATTCATCTGCAAAATTTCTGGCCACGGCCGGCGTGTTTAGCCAATTCCTATTTAGATCACCCACTAAAACTCTTTCACCTTTAGGGACGCCCCCAAAAAGCTCTCTCAGTGCAGGTGCAGCTTCAACATCCTTCCCACTAGGCGGTCGATAGCAGCACACTACTAATATCTGTTGATTATTTGGGAGAGTTATTTTGAGAGCCAGACCTTCAAAGCAACATTTTTTTAAACAAGGAGTGAGCTAGTGAACATGCAATAGTATTACGAACATAGATGGCAATTCCACCTCCTTTAGATCCTCGGTCAAGCCGAAAAAGGTTGTAGTTGCCAATCGCAATCTGCAAGTCATTGACGGCAGGAGTGAGAAATGTTTCTGTTAGGCAAAAAATGTCCAGGTCACACCAAATAGATGATACATTTTGCAAGGAATCAAGTCCTGCATTAACCACACACAGCACTTGTGGTGATAATATTCTAGCATTGCCTTAAGTTTAACACGCTTGGCCATAAAGAAGGCCGTCTCTGGTGTAGGGCAATCCGTTTCAAAGACAATGCCATACATGATTATTATCGGAGCATGTTTTCATGTTCACCGCAATTGTGTGTGGTTAATGCAGTAGTTGACGTCTTGCACAAGTTGTCTGTTTGGTGTTGGGACATCTGAACACAACTCCTGCTCGTTGTCTTTCATCCTCAAGGCCACGAGGGGCCGCCAGTACGGCCCGCGGACCTTGCAATGAAGCAACACGTGGGGCTCGGTGGGACCCCCCCACTCCGCCCCCCCCCCCACTCCACCCCCCACTCCGCCCCCCCCCACTCCCCACTCCACCCCCCCAACTCCACTCCGCCCCCCCACTCCGCCCCACCTCCCCCCCACTCCAACTCCACCCCCCTCCCCCCCACTCCACCCCCCCACATTCCAACTCCACCCCCCCCCACTCCAACTCCACCCCCCTCCCCCCCACTCCACCCCCCCCCCACTCCCCCTCACAACTCCACCCGTCCTCCTCCCACTCCGCCCCCCCCCACTCCACCCTCCAACTCCCCCCACCCCAACTCCCCCGCCCCCCTCCACTACCCCCACACTCCACCCCCCACTACCCCCACACTCCACCCCCCCACTACCCCCACACTCCACCCCCCCACTACCCCCACTACCGGTCGACCGCTCCACCCCCCACCCCACCCCCCACTACCCCCCCACTGCCCCCCCCCCGGCTCGCACGGTGACGCGCGGCGCGCAGTGCATGACGGTCTTCGCGTCCCGCCGGCCCTGCCGCTCCCGCCCGTGCCGCTGCCACCCCGCTGGTTTTTATTTCGTCAACTACTGCGGGGAGGCCCTCGGAGCCCCCGAGGGGCCTCCACCGTCATTCTCATTACTCTTCATTGGCAATGCTGCTGCTGCTACTGCTGCCGTGATTGGAGTGTAACGCCTTCATCGCTCGAGCTGGGCCGCGTTCCCACCGTGCTGAGCAACCACAACCACCACAACCACCACCATCATCACAACAACCACCACCATCATCATCACCTCGTCAGGGAGAGGAGGAGGGAGGCCCTGGGTGAGTATCCAAGTCGCGGAGGTCTCGGGGTTCTCTGGGGGGTACAGCAAGAAGGACGAGTGTGTGATGGTACAGTGACGAGTGTGTGTGGTGGTACAGTGACGGGTGTGTGATGGTACAGTGACGAGTGTGTGATGGTACAGTGACGAGTGTGTGATGGTACAGTGACGGGTGTGTGATGGTACAGTAGGTAAGGTGTGTGATGGTACAGTGACGAGTGTGTGGTGGTACAGTGACGAGTGTGTGTGATGGTACAGTGACGAGTGTGTAGTGGTACAGTGACGAGTGTGTGTGATGGTACAGTGACGAGTGTGTGATAGTACAGTGACGAGTGTGTGATGGTACAGTGACGAGTGTGTGATGGTACAGTGACGAGTGTGTGATGGTACAGTGACGAGTGTGTGATGGTACAGTGACGGGTGTGTGATGGTACAGTGACGAGTGTGTGATGGTACAGTAGGTAAGGTGTGTGATGGTACAGTGACGAGTGTGTGGTGGTACAGTGACGAGTGTGTGTGATGGTACAGTGACGAGTGTGTGTGATAGTACAGTGACGAGTGTGTGATGGTACAGTGACGAGTGTGTGTGATAGTACAGTGACGAGTGTGTGATGGTACAGTGACGAGTGTGTGATGGTACAGTGACGAGTGTGTGATGGTACAGTAGGTAAGGTGTGTGATGATACAGTGACGAGTGTGTGGTGGTAGTGACGAGTGTGTGGTGGTACAGTGACGAGTGTGTGATGGTACAGTGACGAGTGTGTGATGGTACAGTGACGAGTGTGTGATGGTACAGTGACGAGTGTGTGATGGTACAGTGACGAGTGTGTGGTGGTACAGTGACGAGTGTGTGATGGTACAGTGACGAGTGTGTGGTGGTACAGTGACGAGTGTGTGATGGTACAGTAAGCAGGATGGGTGTGTGATGGTACAGTGACGAGTGTGTGATGGTACAGTAAGTAGGATGGGTGTGTGATGGTACAGTGACGAGTGTGTGATGGTACAGTGACGAGTGTGTGATGGTACAGTAGGTAAGGTGTGTGATGGTACAGTGACGAGTGTGTGGTGGTACAGTAAGCAGGATGGGTGTGTGATGGTACAGTGACGAGTGTGTGATGGTACAGTGACGAGTGTGCGATGGTACAGTGACGAGTGTGCGGTGGTACAGTGACGAGTGTGTGGTGGTACAGTGACGAGTGTGTGATGGTACAGTAAGCAGGATGGGTGTGTGATGGTACAGTGACGAGTGTGTGATGGTACAGTAAGTAGGATGGGTGTGTGATGGTACAGTGACGAGTGTGTGGTGGTACAGTAGGTAAGGTGTGTGATGGTACAGTGACGAGTGTGTGGTGGTACAGTAAGCAGGATGGGTGTGTGATGGTACAGTGACGAGTGTGTAATGGTACAGTAGGTAAGGTGTGTGGTGGTACAGTAAGCAGGATGGGTGTGTGATGGTACAGTGACGAGTGTGTGGTGGTACAGTAAGTAGGATGGGTGTGTGATGGTACAGTGACGAGTGTGTGGTGGTACAGTGACGAGTGTGTGATGGTACAGTAGGTAAGGTGTGTGATGGTACAGTAAGCAGGATGGGTGTGTGATGGTATAACAAGCGGGCTGTAAGGTCACAGCACAGAACTGTAAAACTGTGCGTTGATAGTAGGCAGTACATCAAGTAGTAATGTGTGCACGGCAGCAGGGTTTAGAAGGCAGTTACAATGGTAATAGGTTGGTAACATCAGCACAGCAAGTGGGGTGGGTGAAGGCAGTAGATCAAGTGGGCAGATGACTGTGATCATGGCTAGCACAGTCGTGACAAGTTCATCAAGCACGACGTACGTGTGAGTATTTGACCATACCTCCCCACGCTGGTCAGCGCGGGTTGGTCACGGGGCGAGGCTAGGACGCAACATTAGATTGTGAAGCAAGCGCTCTCTGCTTTCAAAGCATCCCTGGGAATCGTCATCACGTCAACACCACCATTATTATTAGCGGCGGCGGCGGTGGTGTTGGTGACCAGCTCAGCTCAGCGCGGACCCCCCCCCCCCGCCGCGGCTATGCCCGCCGGTGAACTCCGTGGAGCTGCGACCCCGGCACACGGCCCCCTGGGGCGTGCGACGGTGGTGGGCACGAGGTATCAGTGGTGCCGGCAGCGGACCCACCCCGCGTTGGGGGGCCGGTCCGCCGCCGCTGTGCATTGCCGCACGACGGTACGGGCCCTGCTCCGCGTTTGGCTAACCGTTCGTGGGGGCGGCCAGGTCGCTTCGGGTAAAACGACGAGAGCGAGAGAGGTGTGGTCATGTGGGTCCGTGGGCAGCAGACGTGGCAAGGGGGGGTGGCGGCTGCGTGACGAGAAGCGGAGCTGATGGACTCCGCCGGCGCGCCCTGTCGTGGCTACTTGGGAGATGTTAACTGCCTCGCCTGCTGTACGGGAGGTCGCGGGTTCGATCCCGACCCTGATGCCCGTCTTTACCTCCACGTGGTCGTGTGGATCTGTCTCCGGGTTCTCCGTTGATTTTCTTACCCGCCGCGTGTGGAACCAACGTCGGCGCGTTCCGAGTGTTTGGCTGCAGTAGAAAATGATGAGCCGCCACTTCGTTGGACCTTCATTCGTGGTGGCGCCAGGGGGCTGCTGAAAAAAAAGAGACATGCAGTGAGGGAAAAAAGTATTTGACCCCCTGCTGATTTTGTACGTTTGCCCACTGACAAAGAAATGATCGGTCTATAATTTTAATGGTAGGTTCATTTGAACAGTGAGAGACAGAATAACAACAGCAAAATCCAGAAAAACGCATGTCAAAAATGTTATAAATTGATTTGTATTTTAATGAGGGAAATAAGTATTTGACCCCCTCTCAATCAGAAAGATTTCTGGCTCCCAGGTGTCTTATATGCAGGTAACGAGCTGAGATTAGGAGCACACTCTTAAAGGGAGTGCTCTTAATCTTAGCTTGTTACCTGTATAAAAGACACCTGTCCACAGAAGCAATCAGTCAATCATATTCCAAACTCTCCACCATGACCAAGACCAAAGAGCTCTCCAAGGATGTCAGGGACAAGATTGTAGACCTACACAAGGCTGGAATGGGCTACAAGACCATTGCCAAGCAGCTTGGTGAGAAGGTGACAACAGTTGGTGCGATTATTCGCAAATGGAAGAAACACAAAAGAATTGTCAATCTCCCTCGGCCTGGGGCTCCATGCAAGATCTCACCTCGTGGAGTTGCAATGATCATGAGAACGGTGAGGAATCAGCCCAGAACTACAAATAAGAAATCATTTTTGAAGTTTTATCAGTCCTTGGGCAAGATGCATGGGACGGGTGCCAGCGGTTATGTGAGGAACTGCTGACGGACTGCACCACCACCGCCACTGCTGCTGCTGCTGCTGCCCCCTGCAACATGCTCTGGACTGGTGCCATCTCCTCGTGTGACGCCGCCGCCGCCGCCGGCGCTATTAATACCCACAGCTTGCAGTGCACCGACGCCGCGCTGATGGTGAAAACTCAACGCCTTTGTCAACAACGTTTCGGGCAATAGCCCTTCTTCATGGCACGTGGTGCTATTTTTAAGGCCACAGTGTTACTAACAAATGTGTTGTTGAACGTCTTGTTGTTTGCACCTGTGCACCTCTACTCAACGCAGCAGCAGCAGTAGCAGTAAATAACTTGTTTTGATGGTCGAGTGGGCATGTGTATGCTTGTGTGTGTGAAGCGATGTGTGGTGCTGTGGTTCATGCAGAGTGTGGCGCAGTGGTTAGCGCGCTGTGTGTGTATGTGTGTGTGTGTATGTGTGTGTATGTGTGTGTATGTGTGCCCCAACAATCTGTTGCAGGCTATACAGGGGATCTTTATCTTTGTGTGTGTGTAAAAGGAGCTGGACACATTCCCATCAGTGACCTCCTCTGGCAGGCAAGGCTGCGATGGCTGTGTCATGTAGCCTTCATGCCCAGCCACTGCATGCTCAAGCAGCTTTTGTTCGGCCGCATAGAGGGGCTAAACGGGGACGGCACGGGCTGGAGAAGAGATGGAGTGATGCGGTACGGGAGGATGTGGAGCTGGGAGGACTTACCGATGACTGGTACCAGCGGTGTCAAGATCGGCCTCTGTGGAGGAGGCTCGTGAAGGACGCTACTGGGCAGTTGGAGGCAGTCGCCCTCCAGCAACAACGGAGGGCAGAGGGGCGACGCTCACAAAAATGAGCGGAGCGCTGGGCGGCTAAAATGCAGCAAGTTGGCACAGCTGGTGCATCTACCGGTCATCTCAGTCAGCCAACCCATGGCACCTGGGTCTGTCCTGAGACCTCCTGTCAGCGAGCCTTCAAAAATTTACGTGGCCTCAAAGTGCACCTGGCCTGGCACATTATTTAACATTATTTCGACCACGTAGTTCGTGAAGCCTTCAATAGCTGTACCAGAGGAATTTCCATCTGGTACAGATACAATGGGAGGCTGACCGATGCCCGGGTGCGGTTAAGGGATGGCTCCTTATTGTTCAACCATGCCGATGATCTGGTAATTGCTGCTCACTCAGAGGAGGAGTTGGAGGCGCTGCTGCTGAAACTGGAGCGTGCCACTAACAGGTGGGGCCTTACCATCAGCCCCACCAAAACTAAGCACCTGCCTGGGTATTTTGTACCATCGGACACTCCACCCCCACAACTCCCAATTGGTGATGGGGCAGTTGTGGAGAGAGTGGAGAGTTTCCCATACCTGGGCAGTGTGCTCATGACCGGCTCCAGTTTAACAGCAGAGGTCTCACTCCGAATCAATCGAGCGGCATTATCTTTTCATCGGTTGCGTAACGCTGTGTGGAAGCTACCTGGTCTGTCGCTCCGCACGAAGCTTCAGGTCTTCTCGGCCACAGTCATTCCCTCCCTTCTCTACGCTTGCGAAACGTGGACACCCCTAATGGAACATTTTCGCCGATTAGAAACATTTAGGCTGGCCTGCCTACAATCCATCCTGGGTTTAACCAGGCTGGATTGTGTGAGGAGCTCACAAATCTTTGAAATATCTGGGCAAGGTCCCATCGGTGAGCTCCTCCGGCAGGCAAGGCTGCGTTGGCTGGGTCATGTAGCCCACATGCCCAGCCACCGCATGCCGAAACAGCTTTTGTTCGGCCGGATCGAGGGGGCTAAACGGGTGCGGCATGGGCTAGGGAAGAGATGGAGTGATGTGGTACAGGAGGACGTGGAGCTGAGTGGACTTGCCGATGATTGCTACCAGCAGTGTCAAGATCGGCCTCTGTGGAGGAGGCTCGTGAAGGACGCTACTGGGCATTTAGGGACAGTCGCCCTCCAATAACAACGGAGGGCGGAGGAGCGACGCTCACAACAATGAGCGGAGCGCCGGGCGGCTAAAGCACAGCAAGTTGGCACAGTAGGGGGCACAGGTGGTGCATCAGCCAGTCATCTCAGTCGACCCGTGGTACCTGGGTCTGCCCCGTGACCTCCTGCCAGCGGGCGTTCGACACTTCACGTGGCCTCAACGTGCACATAGCCTGGCACATGCGTCGTGGTGATGTCACCGCCACTTAGTGGCGAATGGCGGTTGTTCTTGTTGTATGTGTGTGAATGTGTGTACGTGCGTTTACCCTTTTCACACCCTTGAGGCAACCTATCACGTGACCTCAAGGGCGGCCCGACCTTCGCACAAGCGCCGCGCTGTCGTCACGGCGGCTGAGTGGCACGTGGAGGCTGTCGGTGTGCGCGTGTCGCCTCTGCTCCCAGGAGACCCCATGCGGGCGTGAGAGAGCGGTGCCCGCGTGACACTTCACCGGCGCCCAGCCCAGGGGTGGGGGGGTTGGGGGGGGGACGATGTCCCGCGGGTCGCCCTGGCAGAAGCGGGGGGGAGCTCTCTCCCTGGAGCCGGACGCCCCCAAAACCCGGCCGGGAGGTAAGCGCCACCATCATTGCCGCCGCCGTCGCCGCCGCCGCGGTCGCCGCCGCCGCCGCCACCATCATCGCCACTACCACCGGCACCACCGCCACAGTCACCGTCACTACCGCAGCGTTAAGCCGCAGCCGCCCCGTTGATGTGCGGCGAGGTGACGGCGTCGGCCCCAGTCGCCAATGACCGCACGGAGAGCAAGGAAGAGACATGAGGCCGTGGATTCCGGGGCGCTGCGTCCGACGCTACGCCCTTTGTCCTGGGAAAGCTTTTAGTCGGCGGCGGCGGCGGCGCTTGCACCAGGCGCGTACGGGGCGTTTCGTCCGTAGGCCACGGGGAGGCCACGGGGAGGCCACGGGGAGGCCACGGGGAGGCCACGGGGAGGCCACGGGGAGGCCACGGGGAGGGCACGGGGAGGGCAGGGGGGAGGCCACGGTGAGGCCACGGTGAGGGCACGGTGAGGGCACGGGCCCCGGGCCGGCAGCGCCAGGGACACCAAGGTGGACTCGTGTGGCGCTGGTTTGGGCTTCCCGGTTTTTTCGGCGTTCACCCTTTTTATCAATGCGTCAGCAACAACGATGCAACTTTACACTCGGGCTTTCATTCTTATTGGGTCATCATCATGTAGAACCATCTTCGTGCCCCCACGCCCAGCAACACAGGGACATCATCATCGCCAATTCCAGAGCTCCACAGTTGAAGGGTTCCCCAGTCTCTGTGTCGGCGAGATGTTAACTCCCTCGCCTGGTGGACAGGAGGTCGTGGATTCGATCCCCAACCCTGACGCCTGCTGCTGTATATTTGGAGTTTGCGTGTCTCTCGCCCCGTGGTCGTGTGGATTTATTTCCTGGTCCTCCGGTTTTTCCCTCACACAGTTAGAATCATCATCAGCCGTTTGGAGTATTTGGCGGCTATGAATTTCCACACGCGACAAGCCACTTCGTTGAGCCATCATTTGTGATCGCCACAACGATAGCTCAGTGGGCCCTTGCCTTAAATAGTTAGTAGCGGACTGGAGTTGGTGGCGCGCGACCCCTAGCGGCCGCAGGCGTGGCGTGAGGTACGCTGGGTGCGGTGCGCCTCGGTGCGGAAATATTTACCAGATCACAGAGCCGGCCGAAACGAACCCGTTGCGACGCTGCTATCTTGTCAGTCCGCTTCTGGGGTCACGGGGGGGAGTGAGTTTGACCGCTCGTCACCGCACGGACACGGAGCCATCGCTCGTTGTGTCCGCAGGGATCGTGGCAGAGAGAGCGCTCAGCGACTACCTCCACCTCGTGTTCCCCGTGCTCGACAAGACTAGCGCCACGTCCAGGTACTCGACCTGCTTGCTCACCTGTTCTGTACGTGCGCACCTGTGTACGTGCGCACCTTTACGTACACACGTGTTCTGTACGTACACACGTGTTCTGTACGTACACACGTGTTCCGTACGTACACACGTGTTCTGTACATACACAACTACGTACGCACTGGTTGTGTAACGTACTCACCTGCATGTGCACACCTATGTGTACACATCTACACGTGCTCACCTGTATGTACTCACCTGTACGCACCCGCGTGTACGCACTCACCTGTATGCACTCGCCTGTACGCACTCGCCTGTACGCACTCGCCTGTACGCACTCGCCTGTACGCACTCGCCTGTACGCACTCGCCTGTACTCACTCGCCTGTACGCACTCGCCTGTACGCACTCGCCTGTACTCACTCACCTGTACGCACCCGCGTGTACGCACTCACCTGTACGCACTCACCTGTACGCACTCACCTGTACGTACTCGCCTGTACGCACTCGCCTGTACTCACTCACCTGTACGCACTCGCCTGTACTCACTCACCTGTACGCACTCGCCTGTACGCACTCGCCTGTACGCACTCACCTGTACGCACTCGCCTGTACGCACTCACCTGTACGCACTCACCTGTACGCACTCACCTGTACGTCCTCTCGCCTGCACGTGCACGGCCGCGCGTACGAACTTGTCGGTGCGCACTCCCTGCGCCCGCCGTTGTGATTTCTTCTCCGCACCAGGAAAACCCTGAGCTTTCAGAATGTGGAGCACCACCTCGACCTGCTGCTGGCACCTGGGGCTGAGGAGCCGGAGCGCGGAGCCGGTGAGCGCCACCGTCGGACGTCCACCTCCCCCCGCCGTTAGACCGACGCCGACGCGAATTTTCACCGCGGGCCTATCGCACGGGGATTGTCAGGGATTTGCAGCGAGCGATTGGCAGGGATTGTCAGTGATTGGCATGGATTGTCAGGGATTGGTAGGGATTGTCAGGGATAGGCAGGGATTGGTAGCGATTGTCAGGGATTGTCAGTGATTGGCATGGATTGTCAGGGATTGGTAGGGATTGTCAGGGATAGGCAGGGATTGGTAGCGATTGTCAGGGATTGTCAGCGATTGTCAGGGATAGGCAGGGATTGTCAGGGATTGTCAGGGATTGTCAGGGATTGGTAGCGATTGTCAGGGATTGGTAGGGATTGGCATGGATTGTCAGGGATTGTCAGGGATTGTCAGGGCTTGGTAGCGATTGTCAGGGATAGGCAGGGATTGGCAGGGATTGGTAGGGATTGGCATGGGTTTTCAGGGCTTGGCAGGGATTTGTAGGGATTGTCAGAGGTTTGTAGGGATAGGCAGGGATTGGCAGGGATTTGTAGGGATTGTCAGGGATTTTCAGGGATTGGCAGGGATTGGCAGGGATTTGTAGGGATTGGCAGGGAGTGGGCTGTTGCGAGCGTTGCCGCCGTGCCTTGTTCTCTAATCCTCTACGGCGTGCTCTGTCCGGCCGACGACCAACTCACCCACCCACCCACGTGCTCACTCACTCACTCACCCCGTGCCCGGAGACCTCCTGTGGAGTCTCCCTTGGGGTGTTGTTGTTTTTTTCTTTGACCAAGGTCCACGCTCAACCGTTGCTCGTCTCACGCAATCGTCGCCTGTGCCGTTTGTGTCTCCTCGTCCGTGAAGAGGCGGAGGGGCGCCTGGGGCCGGACAACATCGTCCTGGACCACACCAGCGGGTTCGAGGGCCTCCTCCTCGTTGATGAAGACCTCCTCGGGGTTGGCCTCGTCGCCGCCTCATCACCCTGTCCCACGTGTTCACCATCACCACCACCACCATCGCAACCACCGCCACCACCGCTACCACCATCGCTACCACCACCATCATCACCACCATCTCTACCACCACCACCACCATCATCACCTCCATCTCTACCACCAGCACCACCGCAGCTGTCATCACTATCGTCACCACCACCACCATCATCACCACCATCTCTACCACCACCACCACCATCTCTACCACCACCACCATCATCACCACCATCTCTACCACCACCACCACCATCATCACCACCATCTCTACCACCAGCACCACCGCAGCTGTCATCACTATCGTCACCACCACCACCATCATCACCACCATCATCACCACCATCTCAACCGCCAAAAGCACCGCCACCACTGTCATCACTACCACCATTGCCTTCATCATAATCACCACCGCCACCATCTCTACCACCACCACCTTCACGTATTATCATCATCATTGCCACCACCAGCAGTGCCAGCTCATGCGGAGCGTTGTGTATATTTGTGGGCGCGTTCGTTACTTGGCCATGTGGGGATCCGTGGCCGAGGGCTTGAGGTTGTGGGGCCTGAGCGGTGCGTGCCGCGCGGAGTGGGGGACGTTGCGCTCCGCCCAGAGTCGTCCCGAGCGACGCCGTCGCCTTCCTTCCCTCTGCTGCAGGTGATCGGGCACAGCAACTTCAGCACCATCCGCGCCACCACCTGCGTCCACACAGGTGAGAGGCCACCCGCGGCCGCGTGCTTTTACTTGGCGGCAGTGGCGGTGGCGGCTTCACGGGGAGCACCGCCGGTGCGGTAGCGGTAGGGGGGTCCGCACCGTGTCTCGTGTGTGGTAGGGGGGTCCGCACCGTGTCTCGTGTGAGGTAGCGGTAGGGGGGTCCACACCGTGTCTCGTGTGAGGTAGGGGGGTCCTCACTGTGTCTCGTGTGTGGTAGGGGGGTCCGCACCATGTCTCGTGTGTGGTAGGGGGGTCCGCACCGTGTCTCGTGTGAGGTAGCGGTAGGGGGGTCCACACCGTGTCTCGTGTGAGGTAGGGGGGTCCTCACTGTGTCTCGTGTGAGGTAGGGGGGTCCGCACCGTGTCTCGTGTGAGGTAGGGGGGTCCTCACCGTGTCTCGTGTGAGGTAGGGGGGTCCTCACCGTGTCTCGTGTGAGGTAGGGGGGTCCGCACTGTGTCTCGTGTGAGGTAGCGGTAGGGGGGTCCTCACCGTGTCTCGTGTGAGGTAGGGGGGGTCCTCACTGTGTCTCGTGTGAGGTAGGGGGGTCCGCACCGTGTCTCGTGTGAGGTAGGGGGGGTCCTCACCGTGTCTCGTGTGAGGTAGGGGGGTCCTCACCGTGTCTTGTGTGAGGTAGGGGGGGTCCTCACCGTGTCTCGTGTGAGGTAGGGGGGGTCCTCACCGTGTCTCGTGTGAGGTAGGGGGGGTCCGCACCGTGTCTCGTGTGAGGTAGGGGGGTCCGCACCGTGTCTCGTGTGAGGTAGAGGGGTCCTCACCGTGTCTCGTGTGAGGTAGGGGGGTCCGCACTGTGTCTCGTGTGAGGTAGCGGTAGGGGGGTCCTCACCGTGTCTCGTGTGAGGTAGGGGGGGTCCTCACTGTGTCTCGTGTGAGGTAGGGGGGTCCGCACCGTGTCTCGTGTGAGGTAGGGGGGTCCTCACCGTGTCTCGTGTGAGGTAGGGGGGTCCTCACCGTGTCTTGTGTGAGGTAGGGGGGTCCTCACCGTGTCTCGTGTGAGGTAGGGGGGTCCTCACCGTGTCTCGTGTGAGGTAGGGGGGTCCGCACCGTGTCTCGTGTGAGGTAGGGGGGTCCGCACCGTGTCTCGTGTGAGGTAGAGGGGTCCTCACTGTGTCTCGTGTGTGGTAGGGGGGTCCGCACCGTGTCTCATGTGTGGTAGGGGGGTCCTCACTGTGTCTCGGAACGTCCGCTTGGGGACGGTGAGCGCGTTCATTTAAAACAGAGGCAGCCGGTTCTTTGATCGAGCGAAAGAGGGAAAGCCTTGGGCCTCGACGTGAACAGAGGCAGGGAGGCTGACGGCACGGATGGCTGGGGGAGTTCTAGACCACATTGGGCAGCGGAGGAGGAATGATTAGAGGGAGATGAGAGGGGAGAGTGAGAGGGAGATGAGAGGGGAGAGTGGGTGGAGGGTGAGAGGGAGATGAGAGGGGAGAGTGAGAGGGAGATGAGAGGGGAGAGTGGGTGGAGGGTGAGAGGGGATGAGAGGGGAGAGTGGATGGAGGGGAGTCATGGTATGACGCTCAAAGCTCCCCCGTGTGCGTGCGCAGGCAAGTGGATGTACGAGGTGCTGCTCTCCTCCAAGGGGCTCATGCAGATCGGCTGGTGCACCCTCGACTGCCGCTTCAACCAGGAGGTGCCCGCACCACCGCCCCCGCACCACCACCCCCGCACCACCGCCCCCGCACCACCACCCCCACACCACCGCCCCCGCACCACCACCCCCGCACCACCGCCCCCGCACCACCGCCCCCACACCACCACCCCCGCACCACCGCCCCCGCACCACCACCCCCACACCACCGCCCCCGCACCACCGCCCCCGCACCACCGCCCCCGCACCACCGCCCCCGCTCCCCCGCCGCCCACGCGCCGCACCGCGCCGCTTCGTCCCCGGCGGCCGCTCACACCCGCCGTGCCGCGTCTCTCTCTCTCGTCTCCCCCCCCCCGCCCCTGTGCCGCCGCCGCCGGCAGGAGGGCGTGGGCGACACCCCCAACTCGTACGCTTACGACGGCAACCGCGTGCGCAAGTGGAACGTCACCACCACCAACTACGGCAAGGTGGGCGTCCTCACCTCTCCCCCTCTCCTCTCCTCTCCCCTCGCCTCTCCCCTCGCCTCTCCCCCTCTCCTCTCCCCTCTCCTCGCCTCTCCCCCTCTCCTCTCCCCTCGCCTCTCCTCTCCTCTCCCCTCGCCTCTCCCCCTCTCCTCTCCCCTCGCCTCTCCCTTCTCCTCTCCCCTCTCCTCTCCCCCTCTCCTCTCCCCTCGCCTCTCCTCTCCTCTCCCCTCGCCTCTCCCTTCTCCTCTCCCCTCTCCTCTCTCCTCTCCTCTCCCCTCTCCTCTCCCCTCTCCTCTCCCCTCTCCTCTCCCCTCGCCTCTCTCCTCTCCTCTCCCCTCGCCTCTCCCCTTCTCCTCTCCCCTCGCCTCTCCCCCTCTCCTCTCCTCTCGCTCTGCTCTCCTCGGTACTTGTGGTTTATATTTGTGGTGCGGTGTGCTGTGCCGGCCTTCATAGGTGCTCGCTGACAGCACTTGCCCCAACAGTTTGTTCCAGGCTCTAGGAGCCATCTTTGTATTTGGTGCAGTGTGTGGTGCGGTGCGGTGCGGTGCGTGCTCTGTTGTGCGTTGTGTGGAGCGGCGAGCTGCGGCGTGTGACGTGGCTCTGTGTGCGATGCGGGGTGTGTGCTGTTGTGCGGCGTACAGCCGTGGGCGGCGGGCGACGTGGTCACGTGCCTCATCGACCTGGACGACGCCTCCATCTCCTTCTGCCTGTGAGCGCCACGGCACCTCCGCTCACGGCGCCGGGCCCAGCGCCTCTCCCGGCCTCGCCAACGGGGACTTGCCCCTGCAGCCCTTGCGAGGCTTCACGGCGGATCTTCGCCTCTATGTTTATCCTGGGGTAGATGTAGCGGGGAGATGTGTGGCGCGGCGCGTGGGTGAGGTGCCGGCTATCGCTTCACTTCTTCCATCGCCTTGCAAGTTCGGTGTCAATTGTGCGTCCAGGTGTGAGTTTGTGAGCCGTGTGACTCGCACTGCCCAGTCCGCCCGAGAGCGGGCCGCGTAGAACACGGCGCCACGGTGGCTAGGAGATGTTGACTACCTCGCCTGGTACGCAGGAAGTCGTGGGTTCGATCCCGACCCTGATGACGCCTGCTGCTGTATATTTGGAGTTTCCGTGTTTCTTCCCCGTGGTCGTGTGGATTTTTCTTCGGGTCCTCCGTTTTTTCCGTCCACATTTCGAAAAGCACACGTTTAGATTATTTGGCTCCTGCTGTAAATTTTCCACATGATAAGCCACCTGGTCCAGCTATCGTTTTTGGCAAAGTCGCTTGTGACAAAGCACTACATTGCTCAGTGGGTCTTACCTGGTAAAAAAAATAACAAATAGTTCAGTTCAACAAGAAACTATTTTAGTTTAGGACGCAGTCATTGTCGATGTACCCCATCGTGTGTTTCGGGTGGCCACAGGCACGGCGCTCAGGGTCGTCATCGTCTTCAAACCTTTCCCGTTCCGAGACGTCTGCAAGTTCCAGGGCATGGGCGGTTCACCGCCGAATCTCAGAGCGTGCAAGCGGCTCGGCGTCACGTGTACTTAGAGAGGCGTAGCAGCAGCGCCGCTGTTTTTAAAGACGTCCCTGCTCGCCGCGGAGAGCCGTAGCGACGCGACCGCCACGATAGCCGGCGCCGTGCTGTGCCGCACGCGGCCTTCCCAGGTGGCCTCGTTATTTTATCTAGTCCTTCTGGTTTCGTTCCGATGACGATGAACCCTTCCCCGTTCCAATCGCGTACGTCATCGGAACGGGGAAGGGTTCCTCTCCCGCTCGCGGACGAGCCGCCGCGGTGGTCGTGGGAGAACCGGCGGCGTGCGGAGCGGCGGCACTTTGAGGAACCTCGGCGGCGGAACCTGAATTGCCTCGCGCAGCGATCCCGGATTGGTTTTGTGGGATCCCGGGCGAGTTCGTGGTCTCGGCGTGTCACGGGAGGTTTGTGCCGCGCTCCCTCCCGAGCTCTCCCGGGTTGGTTTGACGTCGCCGCGGCGTTCCCGCGCAGAGCGGCCTGACGTCGTTGGGAGATGGTAGCCGTCACGTGGGCCCACCCGTTGGGCGTCTCGTCGCACGGCTAATGCCATCGCTTGAGCCATTTTCGAAATCGTATAAACGGAACTGAAGTTGTTGTTTTGTTTTACCAGGCTTAAGGCCCACTTAGCTGCTTTCCTTGCTCGTTATCAGAAGCGACTAGGCCATCACAAACGACGGCTCGCACGAAGCGACTTCACTCATCGCGTGGAAATTTACGGCGGCAGCAAAATTACTCTCGAGCGCATGTTTTGTGCACGATTCCAAGTGCGAACGTTCCAGCCTGTGTCGCCTCCCTCTCGCTCTCCCGCAGAAATGGGCTGTCCATGGGCGTCGCGTTCCCGGATGTGCGGCTGGGCCCGGGCTTCGCCTACTTCCCCGCCATCAGCCTCTCCTTCCGCGAGAACGTCTCCTTCAACTTTGGCAGCCGCCCGCTGAGATATCCTCTCTTGTCTGTCTCTCGTGCACACACGGACAAAGGGTCTGTGCGTGGGGGGCATGCTGCTGTTTGTCGGCGCCTACGAACGCCGCGGTGGCGAGATGTTAACCACCTCGTCGGTTCGGATAATCATCACTGCTGCTTTACCATCACACCACGCTTGGTATGCCGGAGGTTTGTAAGCTCGACCCCAACCCTGGCGCTGTATACAGTGTTTGGAGTTTGAGTGTTTCTCTCTCCCCGTGGTCGTGTGTTTTTTTTTCTCCGCGTCCTCCGGTTTTTCCCTCCACATTTAGAATCGACGTCAGGTGATGAGCCACTTGTTTGAGGTGCCATTTATTGCCAGGTCGCTTCTGACAAACTGCTGCGATTACAGCTCAGTGGGCCTTGCGGTGTACGAAGGGGGGTGGTGCGAACATCACCACTCCCGGCCGCCGTTGACTCCCCGGTGCCGGTAATTACACGCGGCCCACAGAGGTGGATACCACAGAGCTACCTCTGAGATCCTTTCAAGTGACCTTTGGTCTACCCAATATTCACGAATCTGAAAGCTGGAACTGAGCTACTTGTTAAGTGCAGAGCCAAATTTAAGGTTCCTATATTTTTTTAAATACATTCTTTGGGAACCAGACTAGGACCATCAACTCTCACAGCCCAGCCTGTGAGAGCACGTAGGTCTCGGTCTACATCTGTGGAGGTCTCTCTGTAAGTCTATGGGTCTCCATGTAACTCTATGGCTCTCCAGGTGAGTTGTGTGAGGAGTCTCTGTGGGAGTAACCGGGATGAGACCAGTCGGCTCGCTGCACTTGAGGATACGGTGAATTTGGTTTGCCCCCCGCCCCCCTCCTCGAGCACCTCCGATTAACTCGATTGGCTACACACGGTGCGAAAGAAGTTCAACATACGTACGTACACACGTGCGTTCAAATTCACAGTGGTTGAAACCTGGCTATCACAAATGATAATGAAGTGGCTTCATCATCACGTGGCAGTTTATAGCAGCCAAATACTCTGAACGCGTGGCGTTGATTCTAAATGCGGAGCGAAAAAAAACGGAGGACCCAGAGAAAAATCCACGCGACCACGGGGAGAGGAAAAGACGCACACTCCAAATATACAGCAGCAGCAGCAGGCGCCAGGATCGGGCTCGAACCCACGAGCTCCTGTATACCTGGAGAGGCAGTTAACATCACGCCACCACGTAAGCTCCGGGTGTAGAGGTGTCAGGGTCAGGATCGATCCCACGCCACCGGGGGTACCACCGTGGTGCTGTAACCTCTGTGGCAGCGGCGGCCGCCCCCACCACACCACACTGCCCGCCTCCCCGCGCGTCGCGATCCCCCTGGACGCGTTGACGGGACGAGTCCTTGACCCCGCGTCCACGTACCCCGTCGAGGGTTACCGGCCCCTGCAGGACCCCCCGACCACCGACCTCATGCAGGCCCAGAGGCTCATGGGATACTTCCAGGTCGCCATGGAGACGTGGATCGACCCCAGGGTGAGTGGCGCTCCCTCGCCCCCTGTGCGTGTGTCTGTGTGCGGTGCACGCCCCTAGCCTGGCGCAAGCGTGGTGGTGATGTCACTGCCACGTTGGCGAACGGTTGAGATTGCTAGGTGTGTCCTGCAGCGAGCGTTTAGTGCGGTGCACTACGGACTCGGCCAACACCGGTGACGATCATCTGAACGGGTCCCGGGCCGAATGAGTACCTGGTGCGGTGTGTGAATATCGCCAAAGGGGAGACAAAGGTGGCCGGGCGTGGTGGTGCTTGGCCACCCACTGCCTCGTGTGCCGTGCTGGTCCTCATAGGCGCTCGCGAACAGCACTTGCCCCAACAGTCTGTCAGGCTACACGGGGGATCTTTGTCGTGCGTGCGCCGATTTGGCACAATCAGAAGAGAGCACACACAGGTGGTGGTGTGTCTGCCAATCGTCTCGATCAGTCATCCCATAGCGCCTGGGTCTGTCCCGTGGCCTCCTGCCAGCCAGAGAGTCTTCCACACTTCAAAAGTCAAAGTACACCGAGCCCGGCGCAAACGCCGTGGTGACGTCACCGTCACTCGGTGTGAGCTGCTGCTCGGCGGAGCGTTGGGCGCCCCCCCCCAATCCCCCCCGCCCCTCCCCCCTCTGCCCCCCCCCACCCCTACCCCCCAGGACGGGAGGGTGGTGTCGCGCGAGGACTCGCGGAGTCTGTCGCGAGGAGACGCCGCCACCACCTTCCTCCTCACCGCCGTGCACATCTTCCACAAGCTCGCACCGCTGCTGGTGCGTGCACTCCTCTACACGGTGGGGGGGAGAGGCGGGGGCGTGGGGATAGAGTTTGGAGAGAGAGGGGGGGCAGGGAGAGAGGGGGGGGCGTGGGGAGAGAGTTTGGAGAGGGGGGGGGGCGGGGGGAGAGGGGGGGGCGTGGGGAGAGATAGCAGGGGGGCTGGGAGATAGGGGGGCGTGGGGATAGAGTTTGGAGAGAGAGGGGGGGCAGGGAGAGAGGGGGAGGGAGCGGGAGAGTGAGTGAGGTTGCTTTGCCCGCCGTGTGATTTATTTATTTTTACGAGCAGAATTTGTAAGCCGACATTTGACGGACCGCTGCCACCATCATAAACTTGGGGCCCATTGAGCTGCTTGGGGCCCTCGGCTTGGCTGGGTTCGTTTGTCCCTGGCGCCGCCACCGTGCCTGGCCAAGTTTCCGTGAGATGCAATCCTCGAAAAATAAAAGAATAACCTTCATTATGAATGATATTGGTCGGCCGCCCCGCGCCCGCCTTCCCTCCCCCGCGGCAGGCCAAGGCCTACGTGGTGGACGAGGTGCTCCTCAAGTTCCTGCTCAGCCTGCAGACGCGGGCCTCGGGCTCCGTCGCCACGGAGACGCCGGCCATCTTGCACACGCTGGACCTGCTGTGGGCCCTGCTGGAGGTGCGCCTCTCGTGCTCGCCCCCCCCCGTTACCGTTTGTGTTTCACCGCCGCCGTCTTGGCGCATCGTTGTCGTGGGGGGGGAGGTGGGCGGACGACTTGGCAGGCCTTCATCCAGCAGTGGATCGATCGTGGACGACGACGATGTTGTCGGGGCGTAACGATTCACTCGACTTGCGCGGCGATCGAGAGTCGCCATTCGCCGTTTGACATCGGCAACGCCTCCACGTGCGGCAGGTCCGCTCGCTCGGGCCGCTGCCGGAAGAGGGCCTCACCGTGCCGTGCGGGGTCACGGTTGTTCAAGCGACCGTACTTCACCACGCTGGCGAGCGGGGATTGGCAAAGGCCGGGAGCCGCAGGCTTGGTGATGGAGTAGCGGTCTCGCGGACCCGGCCCCCGGGGTGCTTTCCTGCCGGCGCCTCCTCCGCGCGTTCCTCCGGGCCGCCATCGCGATCGTTGTCGCCTGCTTGTGTGCGTGTCTGTGTCCTGGTGCTCAACTCGTGACCCTCCTCCACGCCCCCCCCCCCCTCCTCGTGCCTCCCTCCCCCCACAACCTTCGATTCTCTTCTTGAGGCGCTGGCGACACGGCCGGGGGCGGCCGCGGTTCGAGCACACCACGGCCGCCCCGGCGAACGAAGCGCGGCGTGCACGTGGGCCGTGCCCCGGGCCGTGCAGCGAGCGCCGCTCGCGAGCGCTGCTCGCTGCACGGCCGGCGGCCGCGGATCCCCCACGGCCGTCGTTTTGAAACGAGCAGCAGGCCGCGCGGCGTCGCGCTCGCGCGTTTTGACGACCGACGCCGGCGTGCCGCCTAATTGGGAGCGCCAAACACCACGGCCATCGGCCCCTGCTGGCGGACCAAAGCCCATGCCGCGCGGCGTCGGCACCGCCTCCGCCTCCATCGGCTACAAAGACAAACGGACGGCCGTGCCGAGACGCGAAATTGTTGGGGGGTGGGGGCGACGGCGCGCGACTCTCAGCTCCCACGTTCCCCGCCGCCCGCAGGAGTTTGAGGTGCACAGCTGCCTGAAGCAGCTGATGATGACGCTGCTGCGAGCCTTCCGCTTCTCCCCCGTGACGCCCGACATGACGCCCCAGGTACCCCCAGCGCCGGCATCGCCGCCGCGAGTCCGGGGCTCGCGCTCGCAGAGCCCGTTGGACTAATCGTAAACTCGGAATGAAAAATCAGTTTTTTAGAGCGCAGGTGGGGACCCGATGAGCTCGGGAGCTCTTTCTCGCAGCTGTCAGCGAGTTACATCAACAAGAAAACCGATAGAGAAGAGGCAAGCAAGTCACTAAAAATAATGAAAGTATACACGGAGTGCAAAATTGCACTCGCAAATAAATTCCTGCCGGTTTGCCAACACCAAATGCAAGCTTGGGGCAAGGCAGCAAAACAACGACAACGACAGTCCCAGACCACACCAGGACAACAACACACGGTCCCCCGGTTAAATTGCACATTAAAATGTAACTCCCGATACACGGGCCAGGTTCAAAGTTACAAATCGCATTGGCAAATGTGTCTCTATTGAGCGCTAATCTTGGGTCAGAATGTTGTACGTGATTTGATCTCTATCGGGATATAATTAATATTTATATCGCGTTCTGACCCCGGCGACGTTCAAATTCGGTGCCGCTGAGAGCCTGGGTTCGAGTCCGGGTTTGAGACGCCCCTGATTACACCGCACTTTTCAGATGTTGTTTCACCACTGTTACAGATCCAGCACCTGCGCCTCGTCCTCGCCATCCTCAAGCACGAGAAGTCACGGAAATTCCTCCTCGGCAACGTCCTATATCCCTCACTAGCGCACGCCGCCACACACACCCAACCACACCGTGCCACACACGCCATCCCACACGGCACCGCGGCACACCGCACCACTCACGCCACACACACACCCAACCACACCGTGCCACGCACGCCATCCCACACGGCACCGCGGCACACCGCGCCACTCACGCCACACCGCGACACGGCACACACGTAACCGGACAATGCTACTTATGCCACACCTCTCCGTGTCATGGCATGCACGTAACACCACACTTCGCCACGACCCCACACCCTGCCACGAAACACCACACCGCGCTACGTACACCACACCACACACCGCCACGACCCCACACCCTGCCACGAAACACCACACTGTGCCATGGACTCCACACCACACTGCACCTCTAGCACCACACCGCGCCACGGAACGCCACACCACGCCGCGCACGCCGCACCACGCTAGCCACGACACACCGGTCAGCTCGGTGTGTTTGCATCAACTCTGCCGGTGTCGTGATCAACACACAAACACATACATACAACAACCGCCATTCGCCACTAAGTGGCAGTGACGTCACCACGACGCTTGTGCCAGGCCATGTGCACCTTGAGGCCACGTGAAGTGTCGAACGCCCGCTGGCAGGAGGTCACGGGGCAGACCCAGGTGCCACGGGTCGACTGACTGAGATGGCTGGCTGATGCACCACCTGTGCCCCCTACTGTGCCAACCTGCTGTGCTTTAGCCACCCGGCGCTCCGCTCGTTGTTGTGAGCGTCGCTCCTCCGCCCTCCGTTGTTGGAGGGCGACTACCTCCAACTGCCCAGTAGCGTCCTTCACGAGCCTCCTCCACAGAGGCCGAGCTTGACACTGCTGGTACCAGTCATCGGCAAGTCCACTCAGCTCCACGTCCTCCTGTACCACATCAATCCATCTCTTCTCTAGCCCGTGCCGCGCCCGTTTAGCACCCTCAATCCGGCCAAACAAAAGCTGTTTTGGCATGCGGTGGCTGGGCATGCGGGCTTCATGACCCAGCCATCGCAGCCTTGCCCGCCGGAGGAGCTCACCGATGGGACCTTGCCCAGATATTTCAAGGATTTGTGAGCTCACACAATCCAGTCTGGTTAAACCCAGGATGGATCGTAGGCAGGCCAGCCTAAATGTTTCTAACAGGCGAAGATGTTCCATTAGGGGGGTCCACGTTTCGCAAGCATACAGAAGGGAGGGAATGACCGTGGCCGAGAAGACCTGAAGCTTAGTGCGGAGCGACAGACCAGGTAGCTTCCACACAGCGTTACGCAACCGATGAAAAAGATATTGCCGCTCGACTGATTCGGAGTGAGACCTCTGCTGTCAAACTGGAGCTGGTCTTAAGAACACTGCCCAGGTATGGGAAACTCTCCACTCGTTCCACAACTGCCCCATCACCGATTGGGAGTTGTGGGGGTGGAGTGTCCGATGGTCCAAAATACCTAGGCAGGTGCTTAGTTTTGGTGGGGCTGATGGTAAGGCCCCACCTCTTAGTGGCACGCTCCAGTCTCAGCAGAAGCGTCTCTAACTCCTCCTCTGAATGAGCAGCTATTACCAAATCATCAGCATACATAACGTGGTTGAGCAATAGGGAGCCATCCCTTGACCGCACCCGGGCATCGATCAGCCTCCCATTATATCTGTACCATATGGACATTCCCCCGGTACAGCTATTGAAGGCTTCACAAACTACGTGGTCAAAATAGATGTTAAATAATGTGGGAGCCAGAGGACATCCCTGTCGCACCCCAAGGTGTACAGGGAATGGCTCTGACTCCCGGCCACGTAGTTTTACCGGGGCCCGCTCACCATCATGAAGGTCCTTAATGATCGTGAGCAGAGGGTCAGGTACTCCAAAAGCACGAAGAACAACCCAGAGCCCAGGCCTACTGATGGTATCATAGGCCTTGACCGGGTCAATAAAGCAGAGATGTAGGTCTTGTTGGAATTCCCTACACCTCTGCTGTAGCAGACGGACAGAAAATATGGCATCTGTGCAGGACCGCCCTTTCCTGAAACCGCATTGGGGCTCCGCAAGCCTCTCCTCAGCGTGCCTGGCAAGGCGATGTTGAATAATCCTTGCCAGGACCTTTCCCGGCACACTGAGGAGTGAGATGCCCCTGTAGTTGTTACAGTCTGTGCGGTCTCCCTTCTTAAAAAGGGGGACCACCAGGGCATCCTTCCAATCCTGCGGAACCCGTCCAGTGGTCCAGACTGTTGTTATAATGTCATATAGGGCAGTCTGTGCACAAACGCCACCCTCCCTCAGCATTTCGCTTGGGAGATCATCTCTCCCCGCTGCCTTTCCTGGTGTCAGACTCCAGATCGCCTTCAGTACTTCCTCAACAGATGGCACCTCAGCCAGCCACTCACAGGGGGTGACTTCTTCCAATATTTGAGGCACCGCAGCCTCAGCAGGGTCATCCTCACTTTGTGCCACGATGTTTTCCTGGCTGAGGGATTTTCTCTCTCCCAGGACCTCACAGAAATGCTCAGCAAATCTGCAAACCTGTTCCTGGGGGTCGGAGATTGGATCACCGTTTTTTCCCCTAATGATGGTAATAGGTGTAGCGCTGCAGGTTATTTTTTCGATGGAGTTAAATAGAGATTTGTGATCACGGGCCACTGAGGCAGACTCCATCTCCTCAGCAACCTGCGACCACCACCCATCCTTGCAGCGCCTCACGACTCTCCGAACCTCCGAGCGAAGGCTGCAGTAAGCCTCCTCATTCTCTGACGTGGCATTCTGTAGCCGATGATAGTGGGCCTGTCGCTTTTCTCAACCATCCTGAACACTTCCTCTGTCAGCCAGGGTCTCTGGGGAGGTCTAGACCGTGTACCCAAAGCAGCCATTGCAGCTGCATGAGTCACAGTCCTAAACCTCGCCCATTTACCCTCGACATGCCAATCCCAGCCGCAAGCGATGATGAAATTCTCGCTTGCAACTTTCATCAGATAACTGAGACCAGGCCACTTTAGGTTGGAATGGGGTCCTGGGTGTACACCCACCACCGGAGCGGAAGAATGGCAGGCGCATCTTACAGATGACAAGTCGATGGTCAGAGGGCAGATCAGCTCCACGGTAGGTCCTGGTTTCAAGGACATGGGCTTGCATCCGCTGGTCCATCACTATGTAGTCCAGCAGATGTTCTTGCTTGGACCCGGCATGCATCCATGATGTTGTGTGGATGCGCCGATGTCGGAACAGCGTGTTGTAATTACAAGCCCATGGGCTGCACAAACATCTAGCAGCCTCCTACCGTTGTTATTGACCTGATCTGGCCCATGCCCTCCAATCACTCCAGACCAGGTGCCAGCATCATGACCAACTCGGGCATTGAAGTCACCCAACATGATGACTCTATCCCGAGGGGCCACTTTAGCCAGCACCTGTGACAGGAGGTCATAGAAGGCATCTGACTCATCGGCTTTGCCTGCATCCCTCCACGGATGTTCATCTTCGGTGGGGGCATAAGGAACCACGACCACCATTCCTCGCCTCCGGTTGATGGGAAGGCGAGCCCAAAGTAGCCTGGGGCTTACAGCTTCCCACACCTCACCACCACGCTCCCACGCCCCCTTCATTCTTTTGTTCAAAAGAAAAGCCACACCCTGTTGTTTGGCAGTCTGCTGCCCCGACTAGAGGACTATATCCACCCCTCATGGTTGCAGGAGCCAGAACCGGTCCACCGGACCTCCTGAATGCCACATAGATCCAGGCGGTACCGGTCCAGCTCCCGACAGAGGAGTGGCAGCCTCTCCTCTGCAGTGAGCGTTCTAACATTCCACGTGGCCACCCGTAGTGGTTTTTCGTTGTTTCTGGAGGAGCCCGGAGGGTAGATGTTCAATCTCCTGGCTCCGTCAATTGGGGTTTGGCCAGGAGACGTCATAGACGCCTGGCCCCCCGGGGCCTCCGGCACAAGCTTATTAGTTATATACTTAATCCGCGGTTTAGTGGTAATTAATTAAAGGTGGAGGGGTTACTAGCCCCTCGCACCCGTCCAGAGCCCCCGTTTAGCCCCTGTGGTGGACACAGATGCCATGAGGGGAGGAGCCAATCGAAATTGGACCTCCCCCCACAACACTGTCCACGACAGAGTTGCCCGTCTGGCACCGCGAGGAGGTAGGGGGTTGTTTTGTATGTTTTACATACACACACACATACACACACATACACACACAAACAAACAAAAAGATCCCTTGTATAGCCTTAACAGACTGTAAGGACAAGTGATGTTAGGGAGCACCTATGAAGGCCGGAATGGTACACGAGGGGGTGGGTGGCCAGCACCACGCCCGACCGTCTTTGTCTCCCCAGTGGCGATGTTTACACACCGCACCAGGTACTTATTTGAGGCTGAGTCGACCTAGGGGAGGCCAGGGACCGGTTCAGATAATCGTGACTGGTGTTGGCCTTGAGCATGAATCGAACCCGGGTCGCCAGGTTCATAGCGCAGCGCTCTAACCGCTATACTACCCCTCCCCACTATACACACACACTTACATGCACACACATACACACACATATAAACACACACATATAAACACACACACACACACAAAGATCCCAAATGCAAGCCACACGGACTGTTGGGGCAAGTGCTGTTAGCGAGTAGCAGCGCCTACGAAGGCCGACACGGTGGCACACGAGGCGGTGCGTGACAGGCACCTCGCCCGGCCGCCTTTCTCTCCCCAGCGGAGACCTTTATCACACCGCACCAGGTGCTCCATTTGAGGCTGAGTCGACCTAGAGGCGGGTGAGGGGGGGAGTGCCCAGATGACGGTTTACGGATCCTTGACGCGCGCACGTTCGACGTGATGCGCTTCGTGGTGTTCTGCAACGTGAAGACGCCGCTGCGCGTGGAGGAGGCCGGCCTCGACGAGACCATCCCCATCACCTGGTGGCCCACCAACCTCCAGCAGCAGCAGGTTGGTGGCGGAGCGAGGGGGCGAGTGAGAAAGTAAAGTGGTTGAGTGATACAGTGAGGGAAAAAAGTATTTGATCCCCTGCTGATTTTGTACGTTTGCCCACTGACAAAGAAATGATCAGTCTATAATTTTAATGGTAGGTTTATTTGAACAGTGAGAGACAGAATAACAACAACAAAATCCAGAAAAACGCATGTCAAAAATGTTATAAATTGATTTGCATTTTAATGAGGGAAATAAGTATTTGACCCCCTCTCAATCAGAAAGATTTCTGGCTCCCAGGTGTCTTTTATACAGGTAGCGAGCTGAGATTAGGAGCACACTCTTAAAGGGAGTGCTCCTAATCTCAGCTTGTTACCTGTATAAAAGACACCTGTCCACAGAAGCAATCAATCAATCAGATTCCAAACTCTCCACCATGGCCAAGACCCAAAGAGCTCTCCAAGGATGTCAGGGACAAGATTGTAGACCTACACAAGGCTGGAATGGGCTACAAGACCATTGCCAAGCAGCTTGGTGAGAAGGTGACAACAGTTGGTGCGATTATTCGCAAATGGAAGAAACACAAAAGAACTGTCAATCTCCCTCGGCCTGGGGCTCCATGCAAGATCTCACCTCGTGGAGTTGCAATGATCATGAGAACGGTGAGGAATCAGCCCAGAACTACACGGGAGGATCTTGTCAATGATCTCAAGGCAGCTGGGACCATAGTCACCAAGAAAACAATTGGTAACACACTACGCTGTGAAGGACTGAAATCCTGCAACATCCGCAAGGTCCCCCTGCTCAAGAAAGCACATATACATACCCGTCTGAAGTTTGCCAATGAACATCTGAATGATTCAGAGGACAATTGGGTGAAAGTGTCGTGGTCAGATGAGACCAAAATGGAGCTCTTTGGCATCAACTCAACTCGCCGTGTTTGGAGGAGGAGGAATGCTTCCTATGACCCCAAGCACACCATCCCCACCGTCAAACGTGGAGGTGGAAACATTATGCTTTGGGGGTGTTTTTCTGCTAAGGGGACAGGACAACTTCACCGCATAAATGGGACGATAGACGGGGCCGTGTAACGTCAAATCTTGGGTGAGAACCTCCTTCCCTCAGCCAGGGCATTGAAAATGGGTCGTGGATGGGTATTCCAGCATGACAATGACCCAAAACACACGGCCAAGTCAACAAAGGAGTGGCTCAAGGAGAAGCACATTAAGGTCCTGGAGTGGCCTCGCCAGTCTCCAGACCTTAATCCCATAGAAAATCTGTGAAGGGAGCTGAAGGTTTGAGTTGCCAAACGTCAGCCTCGAAACCTTAATGACTTGGAGAAGATCTGCAAAGAGGAGTGGGACAAAATCCCTCCTGAGATGTGTGCAAACCTGGTGGCCAACTACAAGAAACGTCTGACCTCTGTGATTGCCAACAAGGGTTTTGCCACCAAGTACTAAGTCATGTTTTGCAGAGGGGTCAAATACGTATTTCCCTCATTAAAATGCAAATCAATTTATAACATTTTTGACATGCGTTTTTCTGGATTTATTTGTTGATATTGTCTCTCACTGTTCAAATACACCTACCATTAAAATTATAGACTGATCATTTCTTTGTCAGTGGGTAAACGTACAAAATCAACAGGGGATCAAATACTTTTTTCCCTCACTGTAAGTGTGCGAGCATGTGGGTGAGTGACTGGGTGGGTGAGTGAGCGAGCGTGTGGGCGGGTAAGTGACTGAGTGGGTGGGCGTGTGATTGAGCGAGTAAGCGAGTGGTTGAGTGAGTGGGTGAGCGGGTGAGTGACTGAGTGGGTGGGCGTGTGATTGAGCGAGTAAGCGAGTGGTTGAGTGAGTGGGTGAGCGGGCGAGTGTGTGGGTGAGTGACTGAGTGTGCGAGTGAGAAAGTAAGGGAGTGGATGAGCGAGCGTGTGGGTGGGTGAGTGAGCGAGTAAGCGATTAAAGGAGCGGGTGAGTGAGTGAGTGAGTGACTTGGGTGAGTGAGCAACTAAGGGAGTGGTTGATTGACTGAGTGGGTGAGCAAACCTGTGTGTGGATGAGTGACTGTGGGTGAGTGAGTGAGTGAGGGAGCAAGTAAGTGGTTGAGTGGGTGCGCAGGCGAGTGGGTGAGCGTGTGAGCGAGTGAGTGGGTGAGCGGGTGACTGAGCGTGTGAGCGAGTGGGTGAGTGAGTGAGTGGGTGAGCGGGTGACTGAGCATGTGAGCGGGTGGGTGAGTGAGTGGGTGAGCGTGTGAGCGAGCGGATGGGTGAGTAAGTGGGTGGGTGAGCGGGTGACTGAGCGTGTGAGCGGGTGGGTGAGTGAGTGGGTGAGCGGGTGACTGAGCGTGTGAGCGAGCGGGTGGGTGAGTGAGTGGGTGAGCGGGTGACTGAGCGTGTGAGCGGGTGGGTGAGTGGGTGAGCGTGTGAGCGAGCGGGTGGGTGAGTGAGTGGGTGGGTGAGTGGGTGACTGAGCGTGTGAGCGAGCGAGTGGGCGAGCGGGTGACTGAGCGTGTGAGCGAGCGGGTGGATGAGTGAGTGGGTGAGCAGGTGAGTGAGCGTGTGAGCGAGCGGGTGAGTGAGTGGGTGAGCGGGTGAGTGAGCGTGTGAGCGAGCGAGTGGGTGAGCGGGTGACTGAGCGTGTGAGCGAGCGGGTGGGTTAGTGAGTGGGTGAGCAGGTGAGTGAGCGTGTGAGCGGGTGGGTGAGTGAGTGGGTGAGCAAGCGGGTGGGTGAGTGAGTGGGTGACTGAGCGTATGAGCGAGCGGGTGGGTGAGCGAGTGGGTGAGCGGGTGACTGAGCGTGTGAGCGAGTGGGTGGGTGAGTGAGTGGGTGAGCGTGTGAGCGAGCTTATTGACTAACTGACGGCACGTACGTTATGGGTTGCGCATCTGCAATGATTGGTCGACTGAGGACGGGGCACGTGTCGAGTGAACGGCAATTGAACCCCGGTGCAGAGTCGTGAGAAGCGGACGCCGCGATGCTCGTGGTACCGTGAGTGTCTGTGTTCACCGGCGTGCGGGTTCCTCTAGCCGTCAGCGCCTAACCACCCGAGTTCCATTCCCGCTCGCGGCTATCAACACGAGTGACCAATATCTGAGCCCGGTCTGGGGCCTCCCCTATGTCGACTCCGTCTCACATGAGTACCTGGTGCGGTGCGTAAACATCGCCACTGGGGGAGACAAAGGTGGTCGGGTGTGGTGGTGCCGGTCGTTCCGGCCTTCGCGGCGCTTGCCCCAGCAGTCTGTTAAGGCTACACGGGGGGTCTTTGTCTTTGTGTGCAGGGCAGGGAGGAGGCGGAGGAGAGCGCCGAGGAGCGGCACAAGCGGCGATCGTACGAGCGCGGCTGCCAGCGCCTCAAGAAGAGAATCGAAGGTGTGGGGGGAGGGAGGCACGGAGGAGGAGGGGGGGGGAGCGTGGAGGGTCACCAGGGCACAGACACGCACCACAACAACAACAACCGCCATTCGCCACTAAGTGGCGGTGACGTCACCACGATGCTTGTGCCAGGCTATGTGCACCCTGAGGCCACGTGAAGTGTCGAACGCCCGCTGGCAGGAGGTCACGGGGCAGACCCAGGTGCCACGGGTCGACTGACTGAGATGACTGGCAGATGACGCACGCACAGACACGCACACACAGACGTGTGCCCGGTGCTGATGTTTAGTCACCGCACCATGAGCGCGTTTAAGGCCGAGTCGATCTAGGGGAGACCCATTGGTGGTGGTGATGCCGCCCGCCCGCCCGCCCCCTGCGTGCCCCCCCGCCCCCAGTGGTTGAGGACCTGCAGGTGGCCATCCTCAAGCTGCTGCTCAACAACAAGGACAAGAACTCGGTGAGGCCCACACACGCGTGCACACAAAGACAAAGGTCCCCCGCGTAGCCTCAGCACACTTTTGGGGCAAGTGCTGTTAGCGAGCACGGCAGACGACCGGGGGGAGGGTGGCCAGCACCACGCCCGCCCTTCGGCGCCTTTGTCTCCCCCCCCTCCCCCCACCCCGTGGAGATGTTTACACGTCGCAAGCGGGTGCTCATTTGAGGCTGAGTCGACCTAGGGGAGGTCCAGGACCGGTTCAGATAACCTTCACTGGGGTTGGCCTTGAGCGGGAATCGAACTCGGGTCGTTAGGCGCGTAGCGCAGTGCGCTAACCGCTGTACGCCCACACGTACAGCGGCGTGGCACAGACACCGAGTTCGCTCATCCTCAATCAAGAACCGATGAGGGACGCCCAGCGTGCACAAGTCTAACGCGGAGATGGAGCGGTGAAATCATCCGGCGTGCGGGTGCTCGGTGGATCGATCAATCGCTAGACCTTGAGGGATGGCCCGATGACTTGGTGAAGCCTTCATCTAGCAGTGTATTGAACATAGTGATATTAAGATGGTATGTACTGTGTGTATGTTGAACTTTTTTTTTCACTGTACGAAGCCAACCGCGCTAGTCGGAGGTGTGGGGGAAAGACAACAAACTATGGGTCTGTGTGAGTCTATGTTTCTCTGTGTGAGTCTATGTGTCTCTGTGTGAGCCTATGGGTCTCTGTGTGAGTCTATGGGTTTCTGTGTGAGCCTGTGGGTCTCTGTGTGAGCCTATGTGTCTCTGTGTGAGTCTATGGGTCTCTGTGTGAGCCTGTGGGTCTCTGTGTGAGCCTATGGGTCTCTGTGTTAGTCTATGGGTCTCTGTGTGAGTACATGGGTCTCTGTGTGAGCCTATGGGTCTCTGTGTGAGTCTATGTTTCTCTGTGTGAGTACATGGGTCTCTGTGTGAACCTATGGGTCTCTGTGTGAGTCTATGGGTTTCTGTGTGAGCCTGTGGGTCTCTGTGTGAGCCTATGTGTCTCTGTGTGAGTCTATGGGTCTCTGTGTGAGCCTGTGGGTCTCTGTGTGGGCATATGGGTCTCTGTGTGAGTTTATGGGTCTCTGTGTGAGCCTATGGGTCTCTGTGTGAGTCTATGGGTCTCTGTGTGAGTCTATGGGTCTCTGTGTGAGTCTATGGGTCTCTGTGTGAGCCTGTGGGTCTCTCTGTGAGTCTATGGGTCTCTGTGTGAGTCTATGGGTCTCTGTGTGAGCCTGTGGGTCTCTGTGTGAGCCTATGGGTCTCTGTGTGAGTCTATGGATCTCTGTGTGAGCCTATGGGTCTCTGTGTGAGTCTGTGTCTCTGTGTGAGTCTATGGGTCTCTTTGTGAGTCTATGTGTCTCTGTGTGAGCCTATGGGTCTCTGTGTGAGCCTATGGGTTTCTCTGTGAGTCTATGGGTCTCTGTGTGAGTCTATGGGTCTCTTTTTGAGCCTATTGGTCTCTTTGTGAGCCTATGGGTCTCTGTGTGAGTCTATGGGTCTCTTTGTGAGTCTATGTGTCTCTGTGAGTCTATGGGTCTCTGTGTGAGTCTATGGGTCTCTGTGTGAGTCTCTGGGTCTCTGTGTGAGTCTATGTGTCTCTGTGAGTCTATGGGTCTCTGTGTGAGTCTGTGGGCCTCTTTGTGAGCCTATGGATCCCTGTGTGAGCCTATGGGTCTCTGTGTGAGTCTATAGGTCTCTGTGAGTCTATAGGTCTCTGTGTGAGCCTATGGGTCTCTGCGTGAGTCTATGGGTCTCTGTGAGTCTATGGGTCCCTTTGTGAACCTATGGGTCTCTGTGTGAGCCTATGAATCTCTGTGTGAGCCTATGGATCTCTGTGTGAGTCTATGGGTCTCTGTGAGTCTATGGGTCTCTGTGTGAGCCTATGGGTCTCTGTGTGAGTCTATGGGTCTCTGTGTGAGCCTATGGGTCTCTGTGTGAGTCTATGGGTCTCTGTGTGAGTCTATGGGTCTCTGTGTGAGCCTGTGGGTCTCTCTGTGAGTCTATGGGTCTCTGTGTGAGTCTATGGGTCTCTGTGTGAGCCTGTGGGTCTCTGTGTGAGCCTATGGGTCTCTGTGTGAGTCTATGGATCTCTGTGTGAGTCTATGTGTCTCTGTGTGAGTCTGTGTCTCTGTGTGAGTCTATGGGTCTCTTTGTGAGTCTATGTGTCTCTGTGTGAGCCTATGGGTCTCTGTGTGAGCCTATGGGTTTCTCTGTGAGTCTATGGGTCTCTGTGTGAGTCTATGGGTCTCTGTTTGAGCCTATTGGTCTCTTTGTGAGCCTATGGGTCTCTGTGTGAGTCTATGGGTCTCTTTGTGAGTCTATGTGTCTCTGTGAGTCTATGGGTCTCTGTGTGAGTCTATGGGTCTCTGTGTGAGTCTCTGGGTCTCTGTGTGAGTCTATGTGTCTCTGTGAGTCTATGGGTCTCTGTGTGAGTCTGTGGGCCTCTTTGTGAGCCTATGGATCCCTGTGTGAGCCTATGGGTCTCTGTGTGAGTCTATAGGTCTCTGTGAGTCTATAGGTCTCTGTGTGAGCCTATGGGTCTCTGCGTGAGTCTATGGGTCTCTGTGAGTCTATGGGTCCCTTTGTGAGCCTATGGGGTCTCTGTGTGAGCCTATGAATCTCTGTGTGAGCCTATGGTCTCTGCGTGAGTCTATGGGTCTCTGTGAGTCTATGGGTCCCTTTGTGAGCCTATGGGTCTCTGTGTGAGCCTATGAATCTCTGTGTGAGCCTATGGATCTCTGTGTGAGTCTATGGGTCCTCTGTGTGAGTCCTGTGTCTCTGTGTGAGTCTATGGGTCTCTGTGTGAGTCTATGGGTCTCTTTTTGAGCCTATTGGTCTCTTTGTGAGCCTATGGGTCTCTGTGTGAGTCTATGGGTCTCTTTGTGAGTCTATGTGTCTCTGTGAGTCTATGGGTCTCTGTGTGAGTCTATGTGTCTCTGTGAGTCTATGGGTCTCTGTGTGAGTCTGTGGGCCTCTTTGTGAGCCTATGGATCCCTGTGTGAGCCTATGGGTCTCTGTGTGAGTCTATAGGTCTCTGTGAGTCTATAGGTCTCTGTGTGAGCCTATGGGTCTCTGCGTGAGTCTATGGGTCTCTGTGAGTCTATGGGTCCCTTTGTGAGCCTATGGGTCTCTGTGTGAGCCTATGAATCTCTGTGTGAGCCTATGGATCTCTGTGTGAGTCTATGGGTCTCTGTGAGTCTATGGGTCTCTGTGTGAGCCTATGGGTCTCTGTGTGAGTCTATGGGTCTCTGTGTGAGCCTATGGGTCTCTGTGTGAGTCTATGGGTCTCTTGAAGTCTATGGGTCTCTGTGTGAGTCTATGGGTCTCTGTGAGTCTATGGGTCTCTGTGTGAGTCTATGGGTCTCTTTGTGAGTCTATGGGTCTCTATGAGTCTATGGGTCTCTGTGTGAGTCTATGGGTCTCTGTGTGAGTCTTTGGGTCTCTGTGTGAGCCTATGGGTCTCTGTGTGAGTCTATGGGTCTCTGTGTGAGTCGATGAAAGTTGAACTTCTTTCTCACCGCTCTTAGCCAACCGTGTTAATCGGAGGTAAGGGGATGGACAGCAAACTAGACACAAGATTTGGGTGATGGTCAAGGTCACGGGGTCGTGGTAATGTCCCGAATGGCGCCGAGGGTGAGGGATGCCCGTGGGCCGTGCCGTTGGTGGTAAGCCGCGAGCGTTGTTGTTGTTGTCTTGCAGCAGGGGGAAGCCTCGCGCTACATCTTCCTGTCCAAGTTGAGGAAGTTCCTGCAGGAGAACGCCTCCAACAGGGTGAGCGGTCAGCACCCCACCACCACCACTCATCGTTGTCTCTGCTGCCGTGCGGTGGCGCTCACCGGCGTCCGGGGCGCTGACTCTGAGCACTGTCGCACGCAGAACCCCACCATGTTGTGCCCCCCCGAGTACATGCTGTGCTTCATGCACCGCCTCATCACCGCGCTGCGGAGCTGTTGGGACGGGCACCGGCAGCGCAGCGCCCATGCGCAGCCCAGCGAGGGTAACGCTCGCACGGCACGCACACTCACACACTCGCACACGTCGCACGGCACGCACGGCACACACGGCACACACGGCACACTCACACACTCGCACACATCGCACACTTCGCACGGCACGCACGGCACACACGCACACTCACACACTCGCACGGCTCGCACGGCACGCACGGCACTTGCACACTCGCACACGCACGCTCTCACACTCGCACACTCGCACACGCACGCTCTCACACTCGCACACTCACACACGCACGCCCTCACACTCGCACACTCACACACGCACGCTCTCACGCTCTCACACATCGCACACTCACACACGCACGCTCTCACACTCGCACACTCACACACGCACGCCCTCACACTCGCACACTCACACACGCACGCTCTCACGCTCTCACACTCGCACACTCACACACGCACGCTCTCACACTCGCACACTCACACACGCACGCTCTCACACTCGCACACTCACACACGCACGCTCTCACACTCGCACACTCACACACGCACGCTCTCACACTCGTACACTCACACTCGTACACTCACACACGCACGCTCTCACACGCACGCTCTCACACTCGCACACTCACACACGCACGCTCTCACACTCGCACGCGCACAACTCAGGGGGGGCGGTGCGCCCGCAGACTCTCGCGACGCACGCGGCGTCACGCGACTCCGGCGCCAATCGCTCGGCCGAGGAGAAGGGTAAACAATAAACGGCACGCCCCCGGCGACGGGGCGGCGCCTCGGGCGAGGACGGCGGCGGGCGGCCCGGCCTCTCGCGGTTTAGCCGTCCGGCGCGAGGCCGGCGGAGCCGAGCTCGCGGGACGCGCGCGAGGGGGGCGCGGCGGCGGCGCTCGGCCCCCTCTGACCCCCCCCGACCCGTGACCTCTCGCGCCTCCCCCCCGCCCCACCGCAGAAGCGTACGTGCCCCCGCAGCTCTTCTACAACGGCAAGGTGGACTACTTCGACCTGCAGCGGCTCGGCGGCCTCATCACCCACCTCAAGAAGACGCTCAAAGGCAAGGGGCTCCGACCCACGCTCCTCTCGCGCGACCTCCCTTGCCGCTCGTCCCGCGTCGCGACCGCGGCTTGGCTTCTGTCGTTGTGTGACACGCGTGGCCTCTGTTGTGACGAACGTGTTGTGTGTCGTGTGTGACACGTGTGGCGTCTGTTGTGACGAACGCGTCGAGTGTCGTTGTGTGTGACACGTGTGGCGTCTGTTGTGACGAACGTGTTGTGTGTCGTGTGTGACACGTGTGGCGTCTGTTGTGACGAAACGCGTCGAGTGTCGTTGTGTGTGACACGTGTGGCGTCTGTTGTGACGAACGTGTTGTGTGTCGTGTGTGACACGTGTGGCGTCTGTTGTGACGAACGTGTCGTGTTGTTGTGTGTGACACGTGTGGCCTCTGTTGTGACGAACGTGTCGTGTTGTTGTGTGTGACACGTGTGGCCTCTGTTGTGACGAACGTGTCGTGTTGTTGTGTGTGACACGTGTGGCGTCTGTTGTGACGAACGTGTTGTGTTGTGTGTGACACGTGTGGCGTCTGTTGTGACGAACGCGTCGAGTGTCATTGTGTGTGACACGTGTGGCCTCTGTTGTGACGAACGTGTCGTGTTGTGTGTGACACGTGTGGCCTCTGTTGTGACGAACGCGTCGAGTGTCGTTGTGTGTGACACGTGTGGCGTCTGTTGTGACGAACGTGTTGTGTGTCGTGTGTGACACGTGTGGCGTCTGTTGTGACGAACGTGTCGTGTTGTTGTGTGTGACACGTGTGGCCTCTGTTGTGACGAACGTGTCGTGTTGTTGTGTGTGACACGTGTGGCCTCTGTTGTGACGAACGTGTCGTGTTGTTGTGTGTGACACGTGTGGCGTCTGTTGTGACGAACGTGTTGTGTTGTGTGTGACACGTGTGGCCTCTGTTGTGACGAACGTGTCGTGTTGTGTGTGACACGTGTGGCCTCTGTTGTGACGAACGTGTCGTGTTGTTGTGTGTGACACGTGTGGCGTCTGTTGTGACGAACGCGTCGTGTTGTTGTGTGTGACACGTGTGGCCTCTGTTGTGACGAACGTGTCGTGTTGTTGTGTGTGACACGTGTGGCCTCTGTTGTGACGAACGTGTCGTGTTGTTGTGTGTGACACGTGTGGCCTCTGTTGTGACGAACGTGTTGTGTTGTGTGTGACACGTGTGGCCTCTGTTGTGATGAACGTGTCGTGTTGTGTGTGACACGTGTGGCCTCTGTTGTGACGAACGTGTCGTGTTGTTGTGTGTGACACGTGTGGCGTCTGTTGTGACGAACGCGTCGTGTTGTTGTGTGTGACACGTGTGGCCTCTGTTGTGACGAACGTGTCGTGTTGTTGTGTGTAACACGTGTGGCCTCTGTTGTGACGAACGTGTCGTGTTGTTGTGTGTGACACGTGTGGCCTCTGTTGTGACGAACGCGTCGCGTCGTCGCGCGTCGTGACACGCCTCGTCGTGCCGCGTGCAGACGACCTGGCGGCGGTCGGCGTGACGGTGGAGGCCGCCGAGCTGAGCCCGGTCTCCATGGACGACCTGGATGACGTGGAGGAGGCCGGCCTAGGCCTGCCGGTAACGAGGCGCGCGGGCATCGGCGGCATCGGCGCCAACGGCGCAGCGGCGGTTCGTAGTTGGTGGCCGCCCCCCTGCCGCACTGTCACTGCAGTGTCGCTGCACCACACCACGAGCAGCAGCGGTGCATTTCTCCGCCGTCCGTGCCCTCGGGCGTCGCGCCACGGCACGGTGAACCCGTGCGGCTCCGTCGCGGTGCAGCGCAAAGACGGAGGTCTTAGGGAGCCGCCCGCGGAAGCGGATGCCGCAGAACTTGCCTCCGAGATCCCTTCCGAGTGATCTTCACTGTAGCACTTTTCCCATCCACTCTGCCGTGTGAGCGTTTTGTTCTTCGCATGGCGTTATAACCGATATTGTCATTCTCAGAGCTCGAATTTAACCGAATTAAGTGATACGTGACCGGTCCTAGGCCATCGACTCACCGCACTTGAGAGCCCCGTGCTTTAATCACGGGCAGCGGCTGAAACCTGGAGTCGAACCCAGGGTCTCGGCGTTGCCGGTTCAGCGCTTTGACCTCTGAGCCACCAGGGACACCTCTATCTAGGTGTGACGATGCTGGCTAGGTGTGATGGACAGCTGTGACACGGTCAGATGTGATGCGGTTGTGGTGTGATGATGCTGACCAGGTGTGATGCACAACTGTGATGCGGCCAGGTGTGACATGGCCAGGTGTGATCATGCTGGCCATGTGTAACGCACAGCTGTGACATGGCCTGGTGTGATGATGCTGTCCGGGTATGATGCACAGGTGTGACGCAGCCAGGTGTGATGCGGTTGGGTGTGATGATGCTGGCCAGTTGTGATGCAACAGGTGTGATGCAACAGGTTGTGATGTGGCCAGGAGTGCTGCGGTTGGGTGTGATGATGCTGGCCAGGTGTGATGCAACAGGTGTGATGCAAGAGGTGTGATGCAACAGGTGTGATGCAACAGGTGTGACACGGCCAAGTGTGATGCGGCTAGGTATGATGCGGTTGGATGTGATGATGCAGAGGTGTGATGTAAGTTGTGTGACGCGGCCGGGAGCCACGCGGTTGTGGCGTGGTGATGCGGCCAGCTGGCCGCGGCTGGGCGTAACGGATGGGGCCGTGCGGAGTCGAGTGGGAGCGCCAGGCTGCGCGAGTAATCCAACGCGGCTAAAACACTGCTGCTGCTGCTGCAGCTGCTGCTGCTGCTGCTGACGTCTATATTCGGCTCGGAACTCTTTGTGCCGCTCCCAATGTAGACCGGCCGCGGAGACGTCACGCTGGCGGTTGGCACGCCGCGCCACGAACCCCGGCGAACCCGTTTCGGTTCCCCGCGACGGCTCGACGCCGGCGGCGAGCGACCCCCCCTCGCCCGCCCGCCCGCCCAGACACCGTCCGTGGATTGGCAAAGTGGGGAGGGGGGGGGGGCCGTAGGGTGCCGCTTGGTTCTGCGAGCCGCGAGGCGCTTTCCACCGTGACCTTGACCCCCGCTTCTTCCCAGAGGCGGTCAACTCCGCAGCCTGTGTTTGAGCGTCGCTCGACCTGTTCATGCCCGATCCCATTATCTGTCCTTATTTCCCGCATTGCGATTTCCGTTCAAGGGTGACTCTCCGCCGCCTCTGTAATGTCTTGTTTTTGTTGTTTTTGTTGTTTTGTTTTGTTGTCTTGTTTTTGTTGTTTTGTTTTTGTGGTTTGTTTTTGTTGTTTTGTTTTTGTTGTCTTGTTTTTGTTGTTTTGTTTTTGTTGTTTTGTTTTGTGGTTTTGTTTTTGTGGTTTGTCGCCGTCTCATTTTGCTCCTTCAGCAAACGATTTGGAAAAATGTATCGCAAACAGCGTGGAAGAGTCGGCACGTCCACCAGCAGCGGGTCGAGCGAGCAATTGCAGGGCTGTGCCTGTAAATTTTTATTTCTAATCGACTCGAGGTCCCATCAGCTTTCAAACTCGTAAAAAAAAAATCGGTTTAACAATCAGCAGCCTGCCGCTTAAATTGGCGGGTGATTTGGTACGGTAACGTCGGCGCAACCCTCTCTTTCTAAACTCTCTCTCCTCGACCCCTGACCTCCCTCCCCCGACCCCCGAACTCTCTCCCCCGACCCTACCGCGGGGCCTGCAGCAGACCGCTCGCCTCGGCATGTCGATGTTCCGCGGAGGGCTGCTGCCGAAACCCCATCGGCGGGGCGGCCGCCCCATTCTGAACGCAGCCTCGGCGGCCCTGGCGGCAAGGCGAGCCCCGGGCTTCGCGAGGCCCCGCCAGGCCACGACGGAGATGGAGCAGCGCACGGAGGAGGAGGGTGAGTGGCGGCGGCGGCGGCACCCCGGATCGGAGGCGTGGAGGCGACGAAGTCCACCCCGTGTTTATCCGGTCCCCGGTGATGACGCGTTCAGGTGGATTTATTGGCAAAGTGGAATGCGCCTGCAGTTGGCTAAACGACTAAAACCAATTTTATTTTTACCAGTTAAGGCCCCACTGAGCTGCGTTGCTCTCTTGTCGGAAGTGACCGCCTGGCTCTCACAAATGACAGCTCGACCAAGTGGCTGATCGCGTGGAAATTTGTGTGGCCAAAAACTCCGATTAGCACGGTTGGCTACATACATAGAAGTTCAACATTCACACACACACACGCATGCTTCTTACAGCGAGGTCCTTAGACTCTCATCCAGAGACTCATAGACTCGCACAGAGACCCCACCAACTCCAACAAGGCCCACAGACTCGGAGACGAGTTGGTCCGGGTCGGCGGCACGTGGCATCACCGTGTGCCGTACGCTCATCTACGCTGGTGCACGTCCGTGCGTGCATTCCGGCGTGCGCGTGGGTCGCTGGCGCGCGCACGCGCTCATACACCTCCGCTGTCCGTTGGGCGCGGTCAGTCGAGACGGGCGTTCTGCACGGACGCCCGATCACGGAGGCCGAGGACCCGCCCGGCGACCACTCGCTCATCGAGATCCTCGACGGCATCGTGATGATGTACAGCATGAGCGTGCACCAGCAGCTGGGCAAGGTGCGCACACACGCACATGGATACGCACGCATACACCCACGCACGCGCATGCACGCACAAACACATACGCACACGCACGCATACGGAAACGCACGCATACACGCACACGCACGGATACGCACAAGCACTAACACACATGGATACGCATGCGCGCACATCGCAAGGATACGCACGCATGCACACGTGGATACAAGACAAAGATCCCCCATATAGCCTTAACAGACTGTAGGGGCAAGTGCTGTTAGTGAGCACCTATGAAGGCCGGATCGGTACACGAGGGGGTAGATGGCCAGCACCACGCCCGACCGCCTTTGTCTCCCCCGTGGCAATATTTTCACACCGCACCAGGTACTCATTTGAGGCTGAGTCGACCTAGGGGATGCCCAAAATGCCACTGATGTGAGCCGTGGGCGTCGTGTTGCTCTGCGGCGGCGTGGGCAGATGGTGGGCGTGTCGGACGACGTGCGGGAGTTTGCCGTGGCGCTGAGGGAGACGGAGGAGAAGATCGCGCGGTGCCCACCGCAGGTAGCGGCACCGTCGTGCTGACACACGCACAGCACCGTCGCACGTGGCACCCACGTGGCACCCACGCGGCACCCACGCGGCACCCACGTGGCACCCACGCGGCACCCACGCGGCACCCACGCGGCACCCACGCGGCACCCACGCGGCACCCACGTGGCACCCACGCGGCACCCACGTGGCACCCACGTGGCACCCACGTGGCACCCACGCAGCACCCACGCGGCACCCACGTGGCACCCACGTGGCTCCCGCGTGGAACTCGCACGGCACTCGCACGGCACCCGCATGCTGCCCGCATGGTGCCCGCATGCCGCTGGGCCGCGTCACCGACAATAATCGAATGAATGGACGAATCGTTTGGTCTGTCGTTTGAAGCCTGCTCGCGTAGCCATCGTGCGCGTGTGTGTTTGCGCGTTTGAACGTGTGTATGTACGTATTTGCGTCTGTGCGTGTGTGCGCGTGTGTGCACCTGGCCTGGCACAAGCGCCGTGGCGACGTCACCGCTCCGCGTGCCGCCATGCCCCCCATGCCGCCCCCATCCTAGCGGCGCGACGTTCTGGAGGAGCTCCAGCGCAGCCGGGACGTGTTCCTGGACAAGCTGAACCAGCTGAGCCGGCGCCTGGCGTGGATCAACACGACCATCTACTCGCAGGTGTGGACGCCACCGCGACCGTTACCCATTTCTTGCCCTGCACCTGCACCAAGTCCCACTGGTAGGTGGGTCAGCGTCACTTGGCTGCTGCGTGCTGCCATGTGCCTGTAGAGGCGACTGCGTGACGTGTACTGGCTGCTGTGTGCTGCCGTATGCCTGTAGGAGCGACTGTGTGACGTGTACTGGCTGCTGTGTGCTGCCGTATGCCTGTAGGAGCGACTGTGTGACGTGTACTGGCTGCTGCCGTGTGCCTGTAGGAGCGACTGCGTGACGTGTACTGGCTGCTGCCGTGTGCCTGTAGGAGCGACTGTGTGACGTGTACTGGCTGCTGTGTGCTGCCGTGTGCCTGTAGGAGCGACTGCGTGACGTGTACTGGCTGCTGTGTGCTGCCGTGTGCCTGTAGGAGCGACTGCGTGACGTGTACTGGCTGCTGCGTGCTGCCGTGTGCCTGTAGGAGCGACTGCGTGACGTGTACTGGCTGCTGCGTGCTGCCGTGTGCCTGTAGGAGCGACTGCGTGACGTGTACTGGCTGCTGCGTGTGCCTGTAGGAGCGGCTGCGTGACGTGTACTGGCTGCTGCGCGTGTGCCTGTAGGAGCGACTGCGTGACGTGTACTGGCTGCTGCGTGCTGCCGTGTGCCTGTAGGAGCGGCTGCGTGACGTGTACTGGCTGCTGCCGTGTGCCTGTAGGAGCGGCTGCGTGACGTGTACTGGCTGCTGCGCGTGTGCCTGTAGGAGCGGCTGCGTGACGTGTACTGGCTGCTGCGCGTGTGCCTGTAGGAGCGACTGCGTGACGTGTACTGGCTGCTGCCGTGTGCCTGTAGGAGCGGCTGCGTGACGTGTACTGGCTGCTGCGCGTGCGCCTGTAGGAGCGACTGCGTGACGTGTACTGGCTGCTGTGTGCTGCCGTGTGCCTGTAGGAGCGCCTGCGTGACGTGTACTGGCTGCTGTGTGCTGCCGTGTGCCTGTAGGAGCGACTGCGTGACGTGTACTGGCTGCTGCGTGCTGCCGTGTGCCTGTAGGAGCGACTGTGTGACGTCTACTGGCTGCTGCCGTGTGCCTGTAGGAGCGACTGCGTGACGTGTACTGGCTGCTGCCGTGTGCCTATAGGAGCGACTGCGTGACGTGTACTGGCTGCTGTGTGCTGCCGTGTGCCTGTAGGAGCGACTGCGTGACGTGTACTGGCTGCTGCGTGTGTGCCTGTAGGAGCGGCTGCGTGACGTGTACTGGCTGCTGTGTGTGTGCCTGTAGGAGCGACTGCGTGACGTGTACTGGCTGCTGCCGTGTGCCTGTAGGAGCGACTGCGTGACGTGTACTGGCTGCTGCCGTGTGCCTGTAGGAGCGACTGCGTGACGTGTACTGGCTGCTGTGTGCTGCCGTGTGCCTGTAGGAGCGACTGCGTGACGTGTACTGGCTGCTGCGTGTGTGCCTGTAGGAGCGGCTGCGTGACGTGTACTGGCTGCTGTGTGTGTGCCTGTAGGAGCGACTGCGTGACGTGTACTGGCTGCTGCGTGCTGCCGTGTGCCTGTAGGAGCGACTGTGTGACGTGTACTGGCTGCTGTGTGCTGCCGTGTGCCTGTAGGAGCGACTGCGTGACGTGTACTGGCTGCTGTGTGCTGCCGTGTGCCTGTAGGAGCGACTGCGTGACGTGTACTGGCTGCTGCGTGCTGCCGTGTGCCTGTCGGAGCGACTGCGGGACGTGTACTGGCTGCTGCGTGCTGCCGTGTGCCTGTAGGAGCGACTGCGTGACGTGTACTGGCTGCTGCGCGTGTGCCTGTAGGAGCGGCTGCGTGACGTGTACTGGCTGCTGCGCGTGTGCCTGTAGGAGCGACTGCGTGACGTGTACTGGCTGCTGCGTGCTGCCGTGTGCCTGTAGGAGCGGCTGCGTGACGTGTACTGGCTGCTGCCGTGTGCCTGTAGGAGCGGCTGCGTGACGTGTACTGGCTGCTGCGCGTTTGCCTGTAGGAGCGGCTGCGTGACGTGTACTGGCTGCTGCGCGTGTGCCTGTAGGAGCGACTGCGTGACGTGTACTGGCTGCTGCCGTGTGCCTGTAGGAGCGGCTGCGTGACGTGTACTGGCTGCTGCGCGTGCGCCTGTAGGAGCGACTGCGTGACGTGTACTGGCTGCTGTGTGCTGCCGTGTGCCTGTAGGAGCGACTGCGTGACGTGTACTGGCTGCTGTGTGCTGCCGTGTGCCTGTAGGAGCGACTGCGTGACGTGTACTGGCTGCTGCGTGCTGCCGTGTGCCTGTAGGAGCGACTGTGTGACGTGTACTGGCTGCTGCCGTGTGCCTGTAGGAGCGACTGCGTGACGTGTACTGGCTGCTGCCGTGTGCCTGTAGGAGCGACTGCGTGACGGGTACTGGCTGCTGTGTGCTGCCGTGTGCCTGTAGGAGCGACTGCGTGACGTGTACTGGCTGCTGCGTGTGTGCCTGTAGGAGCGGCTGCGTGACGTGTACTGGCTGCTGTGTGTGTGCCTGTAGGAGCGGCTGCGTGACGTGTACTGGCTGCTGCGCGTGTGCCTGCGCACGGTGGAGCGTGCCGACCTCACGGGCCCGCTGCTCGGCTTCCTGCCCGAGTTCTACGTGAGCGCCGCCATGGGCTGTTACAGCGCCATCAAGAACTACTTCAGCCCCGTCAGCTGCCCCGATGAGCTGCCCGGTAAACCTCGCACGCCACGGTGGCATCACAGTTACGTGGCGGTGATGGTGGCTGTGTGTGGCGGTGATGGTGGTTGTGTGTGGCGGTGATGGTGGCTGTGTGTGGCGGTGATGGTGGTTGTGTGTGGCGGTGATGGTGGTGGTTGTGTGTGGCGGTGATGTTGGTTGTGTGTGGCGGTGATGGTGGTTGTGTGTGGCGGTGATGGTGGCTGTGTGTGGCGGTGATGGTGGTTGTGTGTGGCGGTGATGGTGGTTGTGTGTGGCGGTGATGGTGGTTGTGTGTGGCGGTGATGGTGGTTGTGTGTGGCGGTGATGGTGGTTGTGTGTGGCGGTGATGGTGGCTGTGTGTGGCGGTGATGGTGGTTGTGTGTGGCGGTGATGGTGGCTGTGTGTGGCGGTGATAGTGGTTGTGTGTGGCGGTGATGGTGGTTGTGTGTGGCGGTGATGGTGGTTGTGTGTGGCGGTGATGGTGGCTGTGTGTGGCGGTGATAGTGGTTGTGCGTGGCGGTGATGGTGGTTGTGTGTGGCGGTGATGGTGGTTGTGTGTGGCGGTGATGGTGGTTGTGCGTGGCGGCGACTGCGCGTGTGGCAGGGTACCAGCAGACCCTCACCCAGCTCGCCACCATCCTCACCAAGCACTTTGTGGACTCCAGGATCATCGGCACCGGTGAGCGACAGGCGGTGGCTACCGGGCTCTCTCTTTCTCTCTCGCGCTTCCTTGCTTCAACGAATACTGCCGGACAATATTTGGTGTGGAATTCCAATCGGGTGATGAGCTATGATTATTATTTTCGCTCCTGCTACTCGAGCCAGGCAAGCCGCTGTGGAGTCTCACGACTCTCTTTATTTACAGCAGCAGCAGAGGGCGCCAATTGCCACCGGTTTCCTCATTGTTTCCCAGCTGAGTAATAATTTTCAGCGGGTGATGTTTCGAGCCTGTCGAATGCGGGCCGTGGCGACGGCACGCGGGGTCCTTGCCCTCCTGCCATTGAAACCGCCGGGATCTTTTGCGGCCGCCACAATGCGGGCGGCCCCTGGGGGTTCGTGGTGGACGCACCAGGAGGGGCGGCCCGTTGTGTTTCGAAACGTCGTCCCTCGGAGACCCGGGGGGCGCGGAGCAGCTCTCGTGCCCGCCTGTGGCCTACCTGTGGCCTACCTGTGGCCTACCTGTGGCCTACCTGTGGCCTACCTGTGGCCTACCTGTGGCCTACCTGTGGCCTACCTGTGGCCCATCTGTTGCCCGCGATGCGGTCCGCCGGCGGCGCGCTCACGGCCGCGCCGTGTCATCCCTGCAGACATCAAGGACTCGCTGATGCAGGCGCTCGCCAGCTTCGTCTGCTACCCCGACTCGCTGAAGGCCGTGGAGCGAACCCCCGCCGACATGTGCGTACCCCCACACCCCGCGCCCCCTCCCCAACTCGGGCGATCGTCGTTACCGGCAATCGTCGCCGGCAACGCCGTTCCGAAACGGCACCTGCAACCGCGTGGCGCAGAGTGGCGTTCTTTAGCCGATGGCCCCTTTGGAGGAAGCTGGTCGACCGGTTTCGACCTTCCTGTACTCATCGGCAGAGTCAGGCCTGTTAGGTTACCGGATGCTTCAATGCGGTTTAGGATACCGTGCCCAGACGGGAGACGCGGCTCGACGAGAGATGAAGAGATGCTCCAACACGATGGCGGAGAGATGGACAAGAGATTAAGATTACAAGTCTGGAGTCGAGCGACGCGTTCGTGGTCACGTGTACGGGTGCGATGGCATCCGTCCACGCGTGCGTGACGCACGGAGAGAACAAGCGTGTGACACAACCCTCGCCTTGACACCGCTTCCCGTCCCTTGCCTGCTGTGAGCGTGTCGACGCGCTGTGCTCGCTCGCCCTCTCGCTCGCCCTCTTGCTCGCCCTCTTGCTCGCCCTCTCGCTCGTCCACCCTCGCTCGCTCCCTCCCTCGCTCGCTCTCTCGCTCGCTCTCTCGCTCGTTCTCTCGCTCGCTCTCCCTCTTTCGCTCGCTCCCTCCCTCGCTCGCTCCCTCCCTCTCTCGCTCGCTCTCTCGCTCGCCCTCGCTCGCTCTCTCTCTCCCTCGCTCGCTCTCTCGCTCGCTCTCCCTCGCTCGCCCTTCCTCTCTCGCCCGCTCTCTCGCACGCCCTCGCTCGCTCGCTCCCTCCCTCGCTCCCTCCCTCGCTTCCTCCCTCTTTTGCTCCCTCTCTCGCTCCCTCTCTCGCTCCCTCTCTCGCTCGCTCACTCGCTCGCCTCTCGTTCTCTCTTTCGCCCTCTCTTTCACTTGCTCTCTCTCCGTCTCGCTCTCCCCAGACGCGTGTCCATGATGCGCAGCCTCCTGGCGCCATACGAGCAGCGGCCCTGGGCTCAGACCAACTGGATCCTCGTCCGACTGTGGAAGGTAGTGCCTGCTGGTTCCCCCCCCCACCTCTCCCCCCACCTCTCCCTACCATCCCGCCGCACGCCCAAGTTTGTTGAGATGGCCGGGTGACTCGGGTCACTGAGCCGACCCCGCTGAGATCCTGGGTTCCAGTCCGGGTCTCAGCCGCCCCGTCCGTTAGCGAGTCGATGGCCTCAGCCCAGTCACCAGGTACTCATCCGAAGCAGTTTAGGCTCACTTGGAGATCCTGGGACTCACATGGAGACCCATAGACTCACATAGAGACCCGTAGACTCACATAGAGACCCATAGACTCACATAGAGACCCATAGACTCACATAGAGACCTGTAGACTCACATAGAGACCCTGAGACTCACATAGAGACCCGTAGACTCGCATAGAGACCTGTAGACTCACATAGAGACCCATAGACTCACATAGAGACCTGTAGACTTACATAGAGACCCTGAGACTCACATAGAGACCTGTAGACTCACATAGAGACCCATAGACTCACATAGAGACCTGTAGACTTACAGAGAGACCCTGAGACTCACATAGAGACCTGTAGAGTTGCATAGAGACCTGTAGACTCACATAGAGACCCATAGACTCACATAGAGACCTGTAGACTCACAGAGAGACCCTAAGACTCACATAGAGACCTGTAGAGTTACATAGAGACCTGTAGACTCACATAGAGACCCATAGACTCACATAGAGACCTGTAGACTCACATAGAGACCCATAGACTCACATAGAGACCCATAGACTCACATAGAGACCCTGAGACTCACATAGAGACCTGTAGACTCACATAGAGACCCATAGACTCACATAGAGACCTGTAGAGTTACATAGAGACCCTGAGACTCACATAGAGACCCATAGAACTACAGAGACGCACAGAATGAATAAGAAGACCCGTGATTACACCAGGTTCTCGAGTGGAGGCAGTCGCTGGTCTCTGTGCAAAAAAACAAAAACCTTCACCTTAAATTTGGTCCAGCATGAATTTTAGCTTGAATTCCAGCTCTGAGAATGAAAGGTGTGAATTTGCATTTCATGCGACGAACACGAACGCTGCTCTGTAGCAGTGACGAGGTGGAGGGGGTGACGAGGTGGAGGGGGGTGACGAGGTGGAGGGGGTGACAACTGGAGGGGGTGACGAGTGGAGGGGTGACGAGGTGGAGGGGGTGACGAGGTGGAGGTGGTGACAAGGTGAAGGGGGTGACGAGTGGAGGGGGTGACGAGGTGGAGGGGGTGACGAGGTGGAGGGGGTGACGAGGTGGAGGGTGTAACGAGGTGGAGGTGGTGACAAGGTGGAGGGGGTGACGAGGTGGAGGGGGTGACGAGGTGGAGGGGGTGACAACTGGGGGGTGACGAGTGGAGGGGGTGACGACTGGAGGGGGTGACGAGGTGGAGGGGGTGACGAGGTGGAGGGTGTGACGAGTGGAGGGGGTGACGAGTGAAGGGGGTGACGAGTGAAGGGGGTGACGAGGTGGAGGGGGTGACGAGGTGGAGGGGGTGCCGAGTGGCGGGGGTGACGAGGTGGAGGCTGTGACGAGTGTATGGTGCATGCCGTGATGTCGTAGCACAATGAGTGTAACGCTGGAGTGAACTTCTAAAACTGATTAACTTGATTTTACGAGGTAAGGACCCACTGAGCTGTGTAGCTCGAAGCGACCTGGCTGTCAACAATTGGTAGTTCGGCGAAGTGGCTTATCGCGTGGAAATGTACGGCGGCCAAATACTCTGAGCGCGTGACTTTGGTTCTAAATGAGTAGGGGACAAAACTGGAGGATCCAGACAAAAAATCCACGCGGCCATGGCGAGAACGTGCGAACTCGAAATGTACAACAGGCGGCGTTAAGGAAGGGATCGAACCCGCGACCTCCTGTATACCAGGCGAGGTAGTTAACATCTCATAGCCACCGTGATGATGATGAGAGAGAGAGAGACGCAGACTCCAGACTTGTATCGTCAGGGTCGGGATCGAACCCGCGACCTCCTGTGTACCAGGCAAAGTAGTTAACATCTCGCCACCGCGGGCGGCGCCCCTACAACAGTTTACAGGATTTTCATCGTCGCTACGCTCGACAATCCGGACTAATCACGGGCAGCGGCTGCTTCCCAAATTGAACCCGGGTGTCGACAGTGCCCCCCCCCCCCCCCACCGCGTCTCTGGCTTGTCGTGAGTCCCTCTGTCGTGAGTCCCTCTGTCGTGAGTCGTGAGTCCCTCTGCGTCAGCCCGGTGATGATTGCCGATTCTCCTGGATTTACCGAGACCCCGCCGGCTTGCCGTGCTGGCTGCCGTGCCGCCCGTGACGGGCGCCGGTTGATGTCGATGTCGTCGTTGTTGTGGCGTGCAGGGCTGTGGGTTTGGGTACCGCTACACCCGGCTGCCTCACCTGCTGCGCATCAAACCTGAGGACCTCAACAACCCCACGCTGCAGAGTCAGTCCCGCACCGCACCAACACACACACAGCACCAACACACACACACAGCACCAACACACACACAGCACCGCACTACACCTACACATGCACAGCACCAACACACACACACGCACGGCTCTGCACTACACCTACACACACACAGAACCACACCTACACACACACAGCACCGCACCTACACACACACAGCACCGCACCAACACACATACAGCACCGCACCTACACACACACAGCACCACACCTACACACACACAGCACCGCACCTACACACACACAGCACCGCACCAACACACACAGCACCGCACCTACACACACACAGCACCGCACCTACACACACACAGCACCACACCTACACACACACAGCACCACACCTACACACACACAGCACCACACCTACACACACACAGCACCGCACCAACACACACACAGCACCGCACCTACACACACACAGCACCGCACCTACACACACACAGCATCGCACCTACACACACACAGCATCGCACCTACACACACACAGCACCGCACCTACACACACACAGCACCGCATCTACACACACACAGCACCGCACCTACACACACACAGCACCGCACCTACACACACACAGCACCGCACCTACACACACACAGCACCGCACCTACACACACACACACAGCACCGCACCTACACACACACACACACAGCACCGCACCTACACACACACACACAGCACCGCACCTACACACACAGCACCACACCAACACACACACAGCACTGCACCTACACACACACAGCACCGCACCAACACACACACACAGCACCGCACCAACACACACACAGCACCGCACCAACACACAGTACCGCACCAACACACAGCACCGCACAGCACCACACTGCTTCAACACACATACACAGCACCTGATCCTGTTAACACACACACACCACTGCACCGCACCACGTCACAACACACACACACACAACCGTCCACTGTGCGTGCGTGTGCGCGTCTGCATGGCGGTGACGGCGGCTGCGGCGTTTTTAATGAGCGCTGTGTGCCATGTTGTGTCACCTGCCACCTCGCGTGCTCCTGCTCAGGAGGTCTGTGCGTTGCTAGCCACCAGAGTAAGTGTCCCCACCCATTCACTGCGCGCTCTCCCAGAGCCCCCACGAGCGTTGGGCACGCGGACGCTCTCCGCAGACGCACGTGTCCAACAAGCACGCACACGCATGACGCCCGCACACTCGGACATACACGCGAAGACGCTGCCCCTACCCCCCGTGTAGCCTTAACAGACTGTTGGGGCAGGTGCTGTTGGGGAGCAGCACCTGTGAGGGCCGGCACGGCACACGTGGGCGGCCAGTACATTCGTCTCCCCAGTGGCGATGTTTAAATACCCGCATCAAATACTCGCGTGAGGCTGAGTTAACCTAGGGGATTCCCAGGACCGGATCAGACAATCGTCACTGATATTGGTTGTGAGCCGGAATCGAACCTGGGTCGTCGGGTTCGTAGCGAGGTCCGCTAATCACTGCGCCACCACTCACAACAAAGCCAAAGACAAATTTCCCCCGCAGAGCCTAAACAGACTGTGGGTGCAAGTGCTGTTAGCGAGCAGCACCTATGAAGGCCGGAACGGCACACGAGAGAGGGTGGATGGCCAGCATCACGCCCGGCCGCCTTTGTCTCCTCAGTGGCGACGTTAACACACCGCACCAGGTTCTAATTTGAGGCCGAGTCGACCTAGGGGAGGCCCAGGACCAGTTCAGATCATCGTCACTGATATTGGCCGTGAGCGCGGCACGCTAACCGCAATGCCACCGCTCCCGCCACACACACACACACGTGCTCAGACGCACACACACCACACACACACACGTGCTCAGACGCACACACACCACACACACACACGTGCTCAGACGCACACACACCACACACACACACGTGCTCAGACGCACACACACCACACACACACGCACTCCCACTTGGTGACGTAGAGGTTCACGTGCGCGGTCCTCTCCCGACGGTTTCCCCCGTGTGTGTCCACAGCTGGTAGCCTCCCGTAGCTCGTAGCCTCTCGCTCCTGTGGTCCGCAGCGTTGCCCTTCTCTCCGACCAGCTCCCCCCCCCCCTCCCTGGTCCTGCCTTCCCAAACCCTCGTCACATCTCACGGCGTCAAGCGGGGCGAGGCCTGCGCTGGCGCCTGCGTTGGCGCTGGCGCTGGTGCGCGGGGGACCGCCTGGAACTGCCACGCGATTGTGGGCTTGTCCTGCGAGGCGCGGCGATGGATTGTCGAATCTGTCCCGTGCGGATATTTTTCGAGGAATTGTTTTGTTTTTGTAAATTCGCGGTCGCCGAGTGTCCCCACGGGGTTCCTCCGCTCCTCCTCCCCACCACGCGGAGGCCGACTCTTCGTTTCTCGCGGCCAAACGTCCCAAACGTTGCAGCGCCGTCCTGAGCGGCCGAGGTCTCGAGACTCGGCGAGGCTCGTGAGAATTGGTTTTTACCCTTTCTGGCAATCAAACGGTTGTGTTGAGATGTGAAGATACCAAGCAAGGAATCCTGTCTGCATTAGCCACGCGTACTTGTGGCGAACACGCTTTCCTGGGTTAACGGGTAACGTCATCACCGTCGTCATTTGTATTCGCGTTACTGTTATCATTGTTGTCGTAGGGAGCGTTGTTATTCTTATTGATCTCACTGTGCCATGCCTCTCCCACTGCACCCTTCCCTCGCGCCACGCTCCCCAAATCTCTGGAATTCTCTGTGGTTTTTCCACCACACAGGATTCCCGAGTGACGTCATTGGGGTTGGCATTTGTGTGTGCTGTGTACGGTATGGTGTGCATGTGGTGGGCATGTGGGGTGTGTACGGTGTGGTGTGTGTGCGTTGTGTGAGACGTGGTTGTTTGGAAGGCGATGGTTGAGTTCCGACTACTGATGGTGTTCACTTACAGCGGACTGGTGTCTCACCCCTGTGTGTGTCACCCCTTTGTGTGTCACCCCCTGTGTATCACCCCTTGTGTGTGTCACCCCTTGTGTGTGTCACCAACCTGTGTGTCACCCCTTTGTGTGTCACCCCCTTGTGTGTCACCAACCTGTGTGTCACCCCTTTGTGTGTCACCCCCTTGTGTGTCACCCCCTTGTGTGTCACCAACCTGTGTGTCACCCCTTTGTGTGTCACCCCCTTTGTGTGTCACCCCTTTGTGTGTCACCCCTTTGTGTGTCACCCCTTGTGTGTCACCCTTGTGTGTGTCACCAACCTGTGTGTCACCCCTTTGTGTGTCACCCCTTGTGTGTGTCACCCCCTTGTGTGTTACCCCTTTGTGTGTCACCCCTTTGTGTGTCACCCCTTGTGTGTGTCACCCCCTTTGTGTGTCACCAACCTGTGTGTGTCACTCCCTGTGTGTGTCACCCTCTGTGTGTCACCCCTGTGTGTGTCACCCCTGTGTGTGTCACCCCTGTGTGTGTCACCCCTCTGTGTGTCACCCCTGTGTGTGTCACCCTGTGTATCACCCTTGTGTGTATCACCCCTTTGTGTGTGTCACCCCCTGTGTCATGCTCATTTGTCACCCTCTTGATGTCTCTCTGCCTTATCCCACTCACCTGCTCCCTCACCTGCTCCCTCACCACCTCCCTCACCAACTCATACCGCCACCTCCCTCACCTGCTCTTTCACCACTCCACTCACCACCCCCCTCACCACCTCCCTCACCACCTCCACACTCACCACCTCCCTCATCACCTCCCTCACCACCCCACTTCCCACCCCCCTCACCACCCCCCTCACCACCCCCTCACCACCCCTCACCACCCCCTCACCACCCCCTCACCACCTCCCTCACCACCCCCTCACCACCCCCTCACCACCCCCTCACCACCCCCCTCACCACCCCCCTCACCACCCCACTCACCACCCCCCTCACCACCCCCCTCACCACCCCCCTCCCCACCCCCCTCACCACCCCTTCTAGAGCCGTGCCCGTCACGTGCCCTGCAGGCCCACGCGGCGACGCTGCTCAGGACGGAGGCGGCGCTGGCGGCCGGCTTCATCAACAGCGTCCTCAACCAGCTCAACTGGGCCTTCTCAGAGTTCATCGGCATGATCCAGGAGGTCCGTGCGAGCGTGCGTCTCTGTGTGTCTGTGTGTGCGTCTCTGCGTGTCTGTGTGTGCGTCTCTGCGTGTCTGTGTGTGCGTCTCTGTGTGTCTGTGTGTGCGTCTGTGCGTGTCTGTGTGCACGTGCTTCTGTGCGTGTCTGTGTGCACGTGCTTCTGTGCGTGCGTCTTTGCGTGCGTCTGTGCGTGCGTGCGTGCGTGTGTGCGTGTGTGCATGAGCGTGCGCTCGCGAGGTCCCAGCAAGGATTATCCAACATCGCTCCCCTTGCCAAGCGGCACGCCGAAGAGAGGCTTGCAGAGCCCCCAATGTGGTTTGTATGTATGTTCGCACAGTGTATGTATGTTCGCACAGTACGTAGCCAACCGTGCTAATCGGAGGTGCGGGGTAAAGGACAACAAACTAAACACAACAACAAGGAGTTCTAAAGAAGCGAGTTTTCAATCTCGATTTTTAAGTGCATAGCTGCAGTGGATTCCTAATATCGCAAGGAAGATTTCAGGCCAGAGCGGTCTTGCACGGACCTGGTATTCTCTGTCCGTCTACTACAGCAGAGGGCCTACACCTCTGCTTTATCGGCCTGGTGAAGGTCTGTGAGGCCATCAACAGGCCAGGCTCTGGGTTGTTCTTCGTGCTTTCGAGCACCTTCACCATCCGGTCGCACTCACGCGGGACTGGCGTAACGGTGGGCAGGCTCCGGTGTGAAGCCATTTCCTGTTTTACCGCTGTTTGGGGACACCGGCCTTGCGCCGGTGGTTGCCGTGGTAACGAAGGTGACCGCTGCTCGTGGCAGCCAGCGCTGGTGAGTGGGGTAGGTGACGGCGATTCGGACGCCAGTCCACGGCACGGGCCGCGGTGGCGAGATGTTAACTCCCTCGCCTGGTATGCAGGAGGTCGTGGATTCGAACCCGACCCTGACGCCTGCTGTATATTTGGAGTTTGCGTGTCTCTCTCCCCGTGGTTGTGTGGATTTTTCTTCGGGTCGTCCAGTTTTCCCTCCACATTTAGAATCAACATCACACGTTTAGAAGTATTTGGCTGCTATAAATTTCCACGCGATGGTGATGAGCCACTTTGTTGAGCTATCATTTGTGAGAGCCAGGTCGCTTCTGAAAAAGAGCTACGTAGCTCAGCCAGGGGCCTTACCTGGAAAAACAAAATGGTTTCGTTTAGACTGCACTGACCTCTGTGTCTCAACGATGAACACCGCCGGACCCCCCTCCCGCTCACCCCCACTCACCCCCGCTCAAACCCCGCTGACCCCCCGCTGACCCCCGCTGACCTCCGCTCACCCCCAACCCGCAGATCCAGCAGACGGCGGAGCGTCCGGAGCGCAACTACATCGACAGCCGGCAGCTGAAGGTGTGCGCGACGTGCTTCGACCTGTCCGTGTCGCTGCTGCGCGTGCTCGAGATGGCCACGAGCCTGGCGCCAGAGGCCTTCACCGACTTCAGCCGGCCCTCGGCCGAGCTGCTGCTCACACGGCTGGCGCAGGTGAGCGAGTTGTAGGGGGGGTGGGAGCGGAGGGGGGGGGGGGGCGGAGGGGGGTGGGAGCGGAGGGGGGTGGGAGCGGAGGGGGGGGGGGGCGGAACGGGCGACGGCGATGTCGGGGAGCGAGAGAGCCATGGACGCGGCCGGTTGCGTCAGGTTGATATTCGAGAGACAAACGGCACGACTCACGCACGGTGCCGCGGTGGCTGGGAGATGTCAACTACCTCACCTGGTGTACAGGAGGTCGTGGTTTTGATCCTGACCCTGATGCCTGCTGCTGTACATTTGGAGTTTTCGGTGTCTCCCTCTCTCCTCGTGGTAGTGTCGCGGTTTGCGCGCTGCGCTACGAACCTGGCCACCCGGGTTTGATTCCCGCTCACAGCCAACACCGGTGACGATTATCTGAACAGGTCCTGGGCCTCCCCTAGGTCGACTCGGCCTCAAATGAGTACCTGGTGCGATGTGTAAACATCGCCACTGTGGAGACAAAGGCGGCCGGGCGTTGTGCTGGCCACCCACCCCCTCGTGTGCCGTGCCGGCCTTCACAGGTGCTAACAGCGCTCGCCCCAACAGTCCGTTACAGGCTGTGTGGCCGCTGTGTACACGAAGCTGCCGGTCTGACGCACGGCGCCGCGTGGAGCTCGGGGCTCCACGCGGCGCCCCTCGTCCGCCCCCACGTCGCTCCGCTCGCGTGACGCCCTTGCTGGCCCCCCACCCCGCTTCCCTCCCCGCCCCCCCCTCTGTGCCCCGCGCCACGGCCCTCACAGCTCATCAACCAGGTGCTGAATCGCGTGACGTCCGAGAGGAATCTATTCGACCGAGTCGTCAACCTCCGTCTGCCAGGTGCGAAGGGCAGGGGCGGGGGGGGCGGGGGGTGGGGGGGCTTGCACCGTTGGCTACGTACGATGCGAAATAAGTTCAAGATACAAAGACAATAATCCCCCGTATAGCCTTAACAGACTTGGGGCAAGTGCTGTTATAGCGAGTACGTAGGAAGGCCGGAACGGCACTCAAGGAGTCGGGTGGCCAGCATCACGCGTTCAGAGTATTCGGCTGCTACTATAAATGTCCACGTGATGAGAAGCCACTCCGTTGAGCTCTCATTTGCGATGGCCAGGTCGCTTCTGAAAAAGAGCTACATAGCTCAGTGGGCCTTACCTGGTGAAATAAACAAATAGTTTAATAGGGATTATTCGTGGGGTGTGTAGCCGTAACACATTGTTTTTTACACGCTTTTTATTAACTCACTCTGTCTGTTGTGGTTGTATCCTCAAATCTTCTAACTACATTTTAAGCCACTTCCCAATGTGGTATCGACTGCAAACTTGGTATACTTATGTCATACTGAGGACATACTATATTCTATCATTAAAAATAAACACATTTTAAAACATCATTTTTTTATATCTTACATTTCGGCTTTGCTCTAATTGTCCACGCTCAACTCACGCTGGCTGTAAATCACCACGGTCCCTTACGTTGTGGCAAGCTTCGCGGCCACTTCCTGGAGTCGTGGAGTTCTTCCATTGCTAGTACGGGACATTTCATTAAAGCGTGTTTTAAAAAAAGTTATATTTAAATATTACTTTTGGTATTGGCAAGGCCACGCAGGGGGCATCACAATGCTCCCTGCCTTCGCCAACCCGCGCCGACCAGCGTGGTGAAGTATGGTCAAATAACCACCGCGACCCGGACGGCGGTGTGGTGGAGGGGCCGTTGTCCTGCGGTGGGGTTGGCAGGACGGCCTTGCCTGCGTGGGCGTGCGGTGCGGTGCGGTGACATCTCCGTGTCCTCCTCCTCCTCCCCCCACCCCCCGGTCCGGTTCAGGGCTGGACACGGTGGATCACTACCCCATCCTCGTGTCCCTCACCGGAATCCTCGTGCAGCTCCTGGTGGATGGAACCACCCAGAGGTGAGTGGGGGGGGGGCTGGGGGTTCGCAGAGGGAGTTGACTGTCTAGACCAGGGGGCCCCATCCCCCGGGCCGCGGACCGGTACCACTTCCATCTGCGCCTCTTTCCCGCACTGCGCACTTGTCTCAGTCACGTGGTATTGGTATAAAGCCCACAAGCTCTAACCCCTAGTAGCCACAATGAGTAAGCCCACAAGCTCTAACCCCTAGTAGCCACAATGAGTAAGCCCACAAGCTCTAACCCCTAGTAGCCACAATGAGTAAGCCCACAAGCTCTAACCCCTAGTAGCCACAATGAGTAAGCCCACAAGCTCTATCCCCTAGTAGCCACAATGAGTAAGCCCACAAGCTCTAACCCCTAGTAGCCACAATGAGTAAGCCCACAAGCTCTAACCCCTAGTAGCCACAATGAGTAAGCCCACAAGCTCTAACCCCTAGTAGCCACAATGAGTAAGCCCACAAGCTGACCCCTAGTAGCCACAATGAGTAAGCCCACAAACTCTAACCCCTAGTAGCCACAATGAGTAAGCCCACAAGCTAACCCCTAGTAGCCACAATGAGTAAGCCCACAAGCTCTAACCCCTAGTAGCCACAATGAGTAAGCCCACAAGCTCTAACCCCTAGTAGCCACAATGAGTAAGCCCACAAGCTCTAACCCCTAGTAGCCACAATGAGTAAGCCCACAAGCTGACCCCTAGTAGCCACAATGAGTAAGCCCACAAACTCTAACCCATAGTAACCACAATGAGTAAGCCCACAAGCTCTAACCCCTAGTAGTCACAATGAGTAAGCCCACAAGCTGACCCCTAGTAGCCACAATGAGTAAGCCCACAAACTCTAACCCATAGTAACCACAATGAGTAAGCCCACAAGCTCTAACCCCTAGTAGCCACAATGAGTAAGCCCACAAGCTGACCCCTAGTAGCCACAATGAGTAAGCCCACAACTCTAACCCATAGTAACCACAATGAGTAAGCCCACAAGCTCTAACCCCTAGTAGCCACTATGAGTAAGCCCACAGGCTAACCCTAGTAGCCACAATGAGTAAGCCCACAAGCTCTAACCCCTAGTAGCCACAATGAGTAAGCCCACAAGCTCTAACCCCTAGTAGCCACAATGAGTAAGCCCACAAGCTCTAACCCCTAGTAGCCACAAGGAGTAACAAACAAACATCGCTGGAGAGCTTCTTTGAAAAGGGGGAAAGACGCAATGATGACCCCCCCTCCCCCCCCGGTCCGTGACAACAAGGTTGGGGACCGCCGCTCTAGACCGTCGTGACGTTGCTCTGTGCGTCTGTGAGTACGGCCTTCGTAGGTGCTACTCGGTAACAGCACTTGCCCCAACAGTCTGTTAAGGCTATACTTGGGGGATCTTTGTTTGTGTTTGTCGGTGGGGCGGTGACCAAGTTGCGCTCCGAACCCGGGGACCCGAGTTTGATTCCCGCTCATGGCCAACACCGGTGAATCCGTCCTGGGCCTCCCCTAGGTCGACCCAGCCTCGCCGCCGATTAGCACGGTTGGCTACGTACGGTGCGAAAGAAGTTCATGCATACAAAATGAGTACCTGGTATGGGGAGACAAAGGCGTGGTGCTGGCCACCCACCCTCTCGTGCGCCGTGCCGGCCTTCATAGGTGCTCGCTAAAAGCACTTGCCCCACCAGTCTGTTAAAGGCTGTACGGGGGATCTTTGTCTTTTTGTGTACACCTGTGTGCGCGTAATTCTTGAGTGCTTGTGCGTTGCGTATCTTTGCATCTATGTGTTGCGTTGGCGCAGCAGTTGCCACACAACACTGCCAACCCGGTGAAACCTGAGTTTGATTCCCGGCTAAGGCTCTGTGACATCAGTTGCACGTGGCATCTGAACCCATTCTGATGCGGCGTGTTAGCACGAGCAATTTGAAAACCACAGAAGCCAGGCGTTGTGCTGACCACACCGTCGCCCCCTTGCATATCCCGGCAACCACAATAGGCGCTCGCTAGCACACCTCTTTCGTTTCTGTAGATAATATGGAGGATCTCTGTTTCATTATGTGTTAAGGTGTGTTGTGCTTTGAGCAGTGTGTGTGTGTTTCTGGGTGGATGATGCACTGTGTGCGTGTGTATAAAATTCTTTGTCCGTCCACTGCTGGGTGTAAAACCTTGCAGCACACTGTATCAGGCCGAGGGGGTTGCTCGCCATACTTCACCAAGGCGGTCAAAACCACGTGTCGCTTTATTGCTTCGGTGTCACGAACCACGGGAATGGAACGGTTTATCCGCGACGGAGCTGTCGAGTTGCCGCGTCCTTGCCTCCGCGCGTCGCGGGCCGCCCCCCCCAACCTCTCCCCCCCCCCCCCCCCCTCCCCCCGCCTTCGCCAGGACACGGCACGCGGGCGACGAGAAGCGTGCGGCCTGGGCCACGTTGAGTGGCTTGGCCTACCGGCGGCACACTTTCAAAAGTGGCTTTTGAAAGATTTAAGAATGATTGAATGCAAAAACAAAATGGAATAAGGCTACGCAAACAAGGCGACTCCAGAGTGCAGAGTACACAAGCGTAGGTGATGGGGTTGATGGTGAGAGCGTTTGGATGTGCGCGCTGTGGAGGAGCTCCCGCGAGCTTCTGGAGCAAAACTTCGGACGTCGTGCAGAACGCCGCGTGGAGAGCGGCACCGATGAACCAGAGTGGCACCGATGAACCAGAGTGGCACCGATGAACCAGAGCGGCACCGATGAACCAGAGCGGCACCGATGATCCAGAGCGGCACCGATGAACCAGAGCGGCACCGATGAACCCGCGCGGCCGGGACCGCTAATGCACCCCCCCCCCGTCGCCACCGCGCGGTTACCGTGACGGCGCGTGCATGCGTTCGGGGTCGCCATGGCAACTTTGGTCAACCTCTTTTGTCGAGAAAAACAACAATCGGCTGGAGTCTCATTTCACACGGAGTGGACCGGCAGTGTTGCGAGGTTTAATAAAAAAAATAACAACGGCCTGGCATGGACAATTTCAGGCTTACATAGAGACCCATAGACCAGCAGAGAGGCCCATAGACTCACAGAGAGACCCATAGACTCACAGAGAGACCCATAGACTCACAGAGGGAACCATAGACTCACATGGTGTCCCATAGACGTCTACACAATGGACACGGGACAATGGAGTTACTGCGTGCACTGTGGTTTAATCAATAGACTTGCATGGAGAATCGTAGACTCACAAACAGAACCATAGAATCGCACAGAGACGCATAGTCACCTACAGAACCATAGACTCGCACAGAGACCCATATAGTCACATACAGAACCATAGACTCACACAGAGACCCATAGAGTCACCTACAGAACCATAGACTCGCACAGAGACCCATATAGTCACATACAGAACCATAGACTCACACAGAGACCCATAGAGTCACCTACAGAACCATAGACTCGCACAGAGACCCATAGAGTCACCTACAGAACCATAGACTCGCACAGAGACCCATATAGTCACATACAGAACCATAGACTCGCACAGAGACCCATATAGTCACATACAGAACCATAGACTCGCACAGAGACCCATATAGTCACATACAGAACCATAGACTCGCACAGAGACCCATAGAGTCAACTACAGAACCATAGACTCACATGGTGTCCTATAGACGTGTACACGAAGGACCCGGGCTAGTGGCGTTACCGCGCGCTGCCCCGGACCGGCACTCGCCAGATCGCGTTGCCGAAAAGACCGGCGGGTGGTAGCCAATTACCGGGGAGGGAGCGGTTGGACTTGGTGGCTCGCACCGGCCATCAAAGAGCACGATGAGTGGGGTCGCACGGTGAGGTCCGCTGGGCGTCTAATTAGCTCGCGAGAGGGGGACGCAGAGGCGCGTTCGGAATCGCAGAGAGGAGAACAAAGCACCCGCGAGGGGTGGGGGAGCGAACACGATGGGAGTGGTGCGGTGGGGGGTGCAGGGTCCCAGGAATTGGCTGCGATCGTTGATGGTCGTGTGGACTAAATAATTAAATATTCAGGTGCTACCCCCCCCCCCCGATCGCACGATTTGTGTCGAGACAAAAAACGAAGAATCCGTTGGTAAAGCTTCACAGTGCGGCGCATGCGGGCAGATGTCACAGAGATACTCGTCGGGAGGTTCCCTCCAGCGACCTGTGGTCCGTACGTGTGTGTGTGTGTGTGCGTACGGTGGACTTCTTTCGCACCGTTCGTGGCCAATCGCAGGCGCGGGGGAAGGACCACACAGTAGGGGGCGGCGCTTGCGCCAGCTCGCTCGGCACTCGTCCGTCGCCTGGTGGTAGTCGCTCAAATCGATAGTTTGTTTGTTCCCAGAGGCGGAATTTGTCCGAGGCGAGGTGCCAATGCGGTGTTGAGCGCCGCCGCGCGATGGGTCGCCTGGACGACCCAAACCCTCGCGAGTTGCCCCGCGACAGCCGTGGCCTCCGAGCGGCCCCGTTGTTTCCTCCGTGTCCGACGTTCAAGCGCTGCCCCCTTCCGCCTCTAAACCCGACGGATGCCGAGACGACCCTGCGCGCGCGGTGAGCCGCGGACGCCCGTCCCGCGGCTCGCGTCGTCGCGGCCGCCGGCAGCCCGGGCGAGGCTCTCGCTCGGAGGAGCGAGCGCGGGGGAAACGACCTCCCCAGAAACGTCGCTCTCCCGCGTCGTAGCGGTGACCCGCACGCGCACCCCCCCCTCCCCAACCCCGCGCCCCCTCGTCCGCACGCGCCGTCCGGGGGCGCCGTCGCTCTCTTGTTGCGCGCTCTGTTCGGTGTGAACCGACGCTTGTTGGCCACAGAGACGGGAGGCCCCGTGGAGGGAGGGAGAGAGACGCTATTGTCCGTGGCTGGCGAGCGGTGGCCACGGGGGACATGGGTACACGGGAGACGCGTGCGACTCCCTCTTCTACCCCCTCTGGTGGCCCGGCCTCTCTGCCGCCTCGCCGGGAGGACTGCGCGCATGTTCCATCACTCGGTGCGTTTGTCAAGCGTCGCTTGAGGAGCGACGTGGAGCTTGGGGGGCTTG